CACTTCCCAACCCTCTGAAGAATCCCTCCTTTCCCCGAACAGGCTGTGACACGACAGGACATCCCTGGGGATGTCCCCGCAGCACGTGGGCTCTGATCGTTTGCTCTGGGCCTCCATGGCATCCTGCTCTCCATCCTCTGCCCGCCTTGCCCTGCTCCACCTCCTGACTCTAGGACTGAACTGTTCAGGAAGGAGAAGAAGGAGAAACAGCCATTGACCTTGGTTGAGAAAACTTGTTTTGTTAACAATCTTTTGCATATTGGGGGCACTTGTAAGCCATACTAATCAATACACAAGACTTATAGCACTTGCTCAACCTTTTGACTCTGTTATTGTAATGGAAAACATTTTTTCTGAAATATTTATACAGTTAGGAGGTCTTTTTCCTTTATGGCAACATCTATTTTGCAAATTTGCAGTTGCATGTAGGCTGCCACCAGCAACTGTCTTGGCAAATGTTGAACAACTCCCACCACAAAAACTAATGAACGGAGACAAGGTCTGCACACCTACTTACTCTGTTCTTCCATGACCAAGTGTGGGACGCCGGGGAAGCGATCTGGGAGACAGCTACTGGAACCAGACACAAACTTTCATAACACCGGGAATTGCTTAAGCTTTTGAATAATGTGATCTTGGCTCGACTATGAGGGTCAAGGAAACAGACTTGTCTTCTATTATGTTTTGTACCGTTCAAGGTCACATCCTCTGTATGTACAAGGTGCCCCTGTGCCTGTTGGCCAGCAGAGCTGTGATGGCTTTGACACGGTAGGGAGGGAGAAAGAGCATGAGTTGTAAAGTTTGATAGATGCTTAAGCTTTATCCTCCTTGACCTCCAGGACCATAAATTCCTCTTGAAAACTTGCTTCCCTTGGCTTCTGAGCCACCTGGTTTCTCTCTGCCCCCTCCTGGTTGCCTCATCCCGGTTGCTTCATCTTGGTTGCCTTTGTGGGTGTCAATTGCTTTGCCCATCCTCCTGACAGTGGACATTTATTGGGTGTCACCCACGTGCCAGCCACTGTTGTAAGCGCTAGAGATACAGCAAGAAATGAAATAGATCCAGAGCTCTGGCCTGGCAGAACTGAAGGGAAACAGAGAACTGTCTCCGTGAGTGTGTGTGTGTGTGTGTGTGTGTGTGTGTGTGTGACCCCTTGTGCCTGCTTCACAAGAGCAACCTGGGCCCCACCTGAGCGTGCTGAGCACTGGCTGGTCCAGCGGGGCACACAAGGGGTTAAGGCAGCATCTCTCCTGCAAGGTCCTTTTCTGGGACTCAGATGTTCTAGGGGCTTATCTTTCTGGCCTGGCCTCCCTCCCCCTCATCCGCCAGCATCTCACTTTTCCTGCCCTGCAGTCGGCCCCACACCTGCAGCCCGAGCCACCTGCATAAATGGTAAGTCCTACCCAGTCACTCTACCGCTGAAAACCTTTGTGATTTCCCGTCGTTCTGGGGATAGATCCACATTCCTCCCAGGGCTGGCTCTGCTCACCCTCCCAGCCCCTGCTCCCCTCCTCCTCCTCTGCACAGGAAGCTGGTGCCCCCACGTGCCTCCCTGCCTTTGTTCACGTTGTCCCCTGCCTAGAGCCCCTCCCTCCACCCGTCTGCTGGTCTGACCACCACCTCCCCCTGGAGTCCATGTGGCCCTGGACGGCTCAGCATATGGTGCTATAGTTACCTATTTACCTTCCGGTCTCTCCCAGGGAGACAGATGCAATGGTAATTATGTGGTGCGTGTCTGTCTCCGGGGAGGAAACCCCTGTGAGCGCGGGCTGTGGCTGTCTTCTTCCCCACAGCGTCGGCCGCGCGCTGGGCAGGAGTCATAAAAACAGGCAAATCTCCTGGGCACTAACCTTGGACCCGGCCGGAACTGTCCTAAGAGCCTCACATGTGTTATCTAATGTCACCCCACCACAGCACGGGGAGGTACAGGCCGTGATTAGTGTCTGTTTACAGTTGAGAAAACAGGCACAGAGAGGCTCATGACCCCCTCCTAAGCGTAGAGGGGGGCTGAGAATTCAGACTGTCTGCCCCAGCCCCTGAGCTCTGGGCCACGGTGTCTGTTGGATGGATATGTGGAGGCGGGACTGTGCCTGAACCAGGGAAATTCTGTGATTGGCAACCTAGTAAGGGTGGGGATGCAGTCAGAGGGGGCTCGGGGCTGGGCAAGCCCCACGCCACTCTGTTCAGGGCACCTTCCTCGGCCACCTTCCTTGGTGCCCCCAGCCCCCAGCCATCAGCACAGAGATAGGAAGGCATCAGCTCAAAGGTCAGAGGGGCAGAGAAAAGCGTCTGGGTACCTGGGAAGAGGGTGAGGGAAGCCCTGGAACCTGGAGATGTGGGTTCACTTGAGACCCAGATGGAAAGCCTACAAGTTCAAGGTTCAGTCCCCCAAAAAATATGGACTCAAGAGACTCTGGCCTCAGAACCATCTTGTGGGGGACAGGGGAATGGTCCCCACTATTTTTACTGAGGCTATCGTTCCTATAAACACCACAGGATGGATAGATGGATGGATGGATGGATACAGACACATAGATACGTAGATATTGATAAGGCAGGCCTGAATTTAGACTTGCTTTTGGATTTGAGCTCCACTGCAAACTAGTCATGGGACTTCAGGTAATTTCTTTGACCTCCCTGAGCCCCAGCTTCCTTGTCTATAATGGGACTAACAACGACTTTTTTGTGGGTGTTGGTGAGAGCCAACGGTTGTAAAGCGCGAGGGTGAAGGGCCTGGCGCACGGTGGGCGCCCCCATGGGGTGGGGGCTGCTGTCATTCGGCATCTGACCAGGATTCTCTGGTTGGTAGATTGAGGGCCCTTCTTTGGCAGGAGGCAATGAACGCATCCTTCATGCTCGGTTCGACCTCTGCATTCAAGGGGATGTCTCCCCGAGGTAGGGGGTCTTGGGCTTCTCTCCCACCACGGCATGCGTGTGGGCGACACCCAGGCCCCGGCACACACCAGCCTGCATTTTGCAGGGCAGAGCCTGTAGCTGCGCTCATTTTCTCCCAGCCAGGAAAGCAACATTATTACAGGAATGACCTAGATCCACTTGAATTTATATTAAAACAATAAATAAATAAAGCAAAGGAAAGGAAGGGCAATCATCCTCAGAGTTTGGTCTTCTGGCTACAATTTATCTGAAAAACAGCCCCCAGCTTGCCCGGACACCCTATCAAGTAACAATGAGGAGGTGGGGTGAGAGCTAACAGGTACCTGTGGGGTCTCTCATTTCACTGGGTTTGGGGTAAACGTCATAGTTCCCTCCAGATAAGAAGCGAGCACAATTACCGGAGGGGCTTGGCTGCTGTCCCCAGGCAGTTAGGGAATGGTTGTGCCTCTGACCTTTGCTCAGTGCCTGGCGGAGGTGCTTAGCCCTCTGCAATGGGGAACCGCAGACATGCAGGGCTCTCACTGGTGCCTCGGCTGTTTGACCAAGAAGCCAGGCCTGCCAGGCCCAGGCGGGCCCTGCCAGCCCAGCGGGCAAGCGCAGGCTTGACCTGCCAGAGCAGCTGCGTTGAGCCTCTGCATCGTCCACGGGGATGTAGGGCCCAACCTCACCTGACCCTCCCTGCACCCTGGCCCTAGCCGGGCAGGACCAGCTGCGCTCTCCTCGGCAGGCCCGCAGCCCTTGGCTCCTGCAGCTATGGAAGCATTCACTGCCAGGCTTAAGTACCTCTCTACCCCTTCCAGGGCGATATTTTTAAGTTTTTGTTTGTCAGAGATTTTATATAATCTCAGATTCTTCATTCGAATGGTTGTGGGGTTTACCTAGTTTTCTGTCTCTGATATTAGAATTGAAAACATACATTGGTGGTTTAGAATCCCAGGGGGTTCTTCTCTTTTAGACAGAAAGAAGAGTGGGAAATCAGCCTTGTCCAGAGATTCCCTACGGGCACTGCCTTTGAATTGTGCTTTCATCCATTCTACAGTCAGCCAGTCATTCAACAAACGCTTGCTAAACTCACACTTTTGTGCCAGTCACTATGCTGGGCGCGAGGCGTATTTCAATGAAGAAGACATGGGCTGTGCCTTGGAGGCCAACACAATGCGACCTAGATTTTGCTAATGCATTGAAACCTCTCTAGGATATAAGAAGTCAACTTATAGGATTCCTTTCTAAAGGTAATTTTCTAGAGCTTTGAGACCATCTCTATATTTAAAAAATCTACAATACAGGGATGAGCAAAAGTAGGTTTCCAGTTGTAATACAAATAAATAATACAGTAATTAATAAATAACAATACAAGAATAAATTCTGTTTCATGGACTCACGACTGTAAACCTACTCTTGCTCACCCTTGTATTTATTCATTCACCAAAAATCTGAGTAAGACCCCGTGCCCAGAGCAGGGGCAGTGAGAGGGTATAAAGGAGAAAACAAAATCCCTACCTTCTGGAAATCTAAGTCTGAAAAAGAGAAGTCACATGTAAGACAGGAAGTTCAGCCTGTTATTTCCTTTGCGACTGCACATGACATTCATTCACTTGTTCATTCGGGCCTAAGTATTTTTGTTGTGTACTGTGTGCTCTGAGGCCTGTGGAAGGGGTCTAGGCACTCGGGGTCTCCCACGGAGGGAGGAAGAGCATTCAGAGACAAGTAGAACATCAGGTTAACTGCAGTTTAGGCCAAAATTAGTGGCTCAAAAATACTCCGAGAGCACGAGAACCCCAGGCTAAGCCAGTGCACTCTGTTGGCTTCTTCACAGAGGTAGAAGATTTGGAAGTAGTTCTGAGGAATGCAAAGGCCTTCTGGGAGGGAGGGAGGACATTCCAGGCCAGTGGAAGGGCAAAAACAAAGGTCTTGAAGTGTTAGGAATTTCTCATTAGAAACTGAGACATGAAGGGGGTGGGGGAGGGGAGAGAACGTGCTCCAACCAGCACCCATCTCGGGGCGGGGCCAGGAGCGGCTGGGGACTGGGTGGGCTGAGGTGTCTGCCGGGGAGTCTGCAGCATTCAGGGGAGCTGTGCGTTCTCACTTGTTTCCTTCGTCCCCTCAGCCAGACTCTCTGCGGCCTGTTAAAGGACAGCACGATGTCCCTCACACTCCACCTGAAGTCCTGCCCTCCCTCTGTCATCAGGGGTTTGATTCTACAAAAGAAACCAAACATCAGAAACATGTCCGGCATGGCTGGGGGTGAGTGGTCCTTGGTGTTTAAAAAAAGAGAAAAGAAGATTCTCTGGGTCATGACATTTTGGGAAGAGCAGCTGTGTAGGGCACAGGAATCCCCGGGACGTCCAGCTTCTGCATGGGAGACAGAATGCAGGAGGGACGCAATGAGCTCCGGGCCCTGCTCAGCCTCCCAGAAGGGACCGGCACTTGGGCGAGACTCGGTGCGGACACCTGTTCGCACAGGTGGGAGCAGCACCACGGGGCACTGCTCCGTTGCCGCAGCTCCACACGGGGAACTGCCCATAGCCGCCCATGACGGGAGGGGTTTCTCCCTGGAAAAGTGCCCTCATCAGGTAGCATTTTATTCTGATTCTTGTTCACACCAAGACCCCCTGCATTGGTCTGATCTTCTCTGGGGGGCACCCATCTCCCTACTATGACACCCAAGATTCTAAAAGATCCTGCAAGAGAAAACATATCGAAGTTATCATTGACCCGAGTCCCAGGAAAATTTCACAACCCAGGGGATGGGCATGCGCATCACATGAGACCATAAAGAATCTCTTTGGTCTACCAACCCTTCCAAAAAGACACCACGTGGCCCTCTAGTCCATGTCCTGTTACTAGTGGGGCAACTGAATGACTTTCTATGACCAGAAGTGGAGATGAACAGGACCAAAATACAGTGGCTCTGAAGTCTGTTTCATTACAAAGGAAAGAAGGAAGCTTTGGGCACATAACACCTCCCTGATTTATGGCATTAAAAATCCACTTGGCTCCCCCAACAGGCACTGGAGGTCGGAAGGGTCTGGCTAGGGAATGCGAGGCCTCTGGGCTGGCTGCCTCCCCTTCCACCTCACTCCCGAATATTCTTGGGGGCCTGCGCGAGACATGCAGCCAGCTTCCTCGGGCTTTCGGCGGCCGGCAGTGTCCCGTGTGGCCTCCTTTTGGAAGCCTGTCTGAGCACCGGCAGGCGCGATGGGTTTGAGATCACAGATTACAGGCGGTTAGAGCAGGAGCCAGGCCGAGGCTCTTCCCTGCGGATAGCAATATCTGCAGCTCTCCCCCGTCCCTGAGGAGGAAGGTGCCAGAGGTGGCGGTGGACCCCGCCTAGCAAGACCTCATGCCCACAGCCCCGCGGTGACATGGGAGGGACTCCCGGGCCACCTGTCTCAGGTTTGCATCCTGGCTGTACCACACACCAGCTTACTCTCCTCATATGTCGAATACAGAGGATTACACAGATAAATGACTCAGCGTAGAGAGCTTGGCACGTCCTGAGCGCAAGATACTAACAGACGATATTATTGCAGAAGAGGAATGTCCACATGTTGACAGAGTGAATCTGGCATTTAGAATTGTGCCCGAGGTTATTTCTCCAAAAGAACATAAGTATGTTTTTCTTTGGGATAGTCTTTTTAAAGGAAATGTCCTCTTTTTAAAAAACATAATTTTTTAAATTTGTTTTTTTCCTTCAGTCATAGAATAATTCCTATTTATTACGTAAATTTTAGAACGTTGAGAAAAGCCCAAAGAAAATTAAAATCACACACAATCTTGTCACCTGGAAATAACTGTGATTAACATGTGTATGTATTTGTTTTAGCTCTTTCATCAACTTTATATAAAGGGGAATATGCTGCACCTATCGTTTTGTTACCTAGTACTGTTCCTTTAATGATACAGCCCAAACAGCTCTTGCTATCATTAAATATTTCCTCTGTGCCATAACTTTAAATGTCTATACAAGACTCCACTGAGTGAGCGCACCTCCCGCCCTGCCTTGTGAACGCCGGTGCGGTAGGGCGTCTGCACACAGGAGTGAACGCACAGAGTGCTCGCTGAGGTCAGCAGGCTGCTGCCCTGTTATCGGTGGGGAAACTGAGCCCAGGGGCACACTGCTGGTTAGAGGCAGAATGGAGGTTCAGACCTCATCCTAAAGGGAGGCTAGTGGGCACTAGAGGGGATCTCCCTCTAGAGCTCCGCTAGGACTGCCTCTTGGGAGGCAAAGTGAAGGATTCTGCCAGCCCGCTCAGTCAAGAATCTTCCCAGACAAAACACGTGACAGTCTGTCCCCAAAAAGACACCCCGAGGGCCGGTGGAGCCTATGGAAAGGTTCTCACTCACGTTAGTTGTCTGGGCGGTGCAGGTTAAAACCTCCGCGCGATGCCTCCACACACCTGCTGGGACGGCGGAATGGGAAAGCGCAGCAACGCCGGGGGCCGGGAGAGAGATCCTGGCGCGACCGAGAACTCGCACGCCACTGGTGCGCGGGATTGTAACTTGGTACCGCGCCACTGGGAACTGCTCAGCGGTGTGAATCAAAGCTGAACGTGCATGTGCCCTACACCCTGAGGTGTATGCCAAACAGGAATGCGTACCCCCAAAGGCAGGTGCGAAAGTGTTCGTGGCAGCACCATTACTAACACCCCAGTGGGAACCATTCCCATGCCCATCTGCCGTATGTGGGGGGGAATACCCCGTGGTGATGACGACACCACACAGCAATGAGACTAAACCGCTGTTGTTAAACACAACAGTATGGGTGGGTCTCCCGAAAACACTGTTGAATGAGAGCAACTAGACTCAAAAGACTCACACTCATTCCATCTTATGAAAAACAAGCAAAAGTGATCTGTGATGTTAGAAGATAGGGGAGAGGCTGCCCTTGCAGGGGGGAGGAGTGAGGGGGTTTCTGGGATGTTCATAATGTTTCGTTTCTTGACGAATGCTTTTTCTTGGGAATGCTTTTTACGTGGGTGTGTTTTATTTCTGAAAATTCATCAAGCTGCACAGGGACGCGCGTTTTTCTGTGTGTATGAAAAGTTGCATCAAGAAAGCTCTACCAGGAAGCCTCTGACTGCGTGTGTTCTTGCGCTCCCCAGCCGCAGGGCAGCGGCCAGCCGGCGTGGTGCTCCTGCACAGGTCCCTCGCCCCGGACTTCGAGAAGTTCTGCCAGGCCAACAGGGGCCCTCTGCCCCTGCTGGGCAAAAGCGAGCCAGGAAGATGGGCGTTGCCTGCCCTGGGCACTGTCCCAGACACCAGGTAACGCTGTGGGTTCCCGGGGTCAAAGCTTGGCAGTGGCCAGATGCTACAGCCACGTGTCTCTGTCGCCAGGGATCTCTGTCCAGCCTCGGGACCCCCCAGGGCCTGGCACGGAGCCTCACTCAGGGCTGTTGCTCAGGAAGGAGCTGCCTCCCCACGTCCCCACTCCTACCTCTATCCCCTGCCCCCTCCCCCAGGTAAAATCTTTGGGGCCGCCACCAAAAAAAGTCCAGCCCTGGAGAAATCCCAGTGGCGCTACCATCCACCCAGAGCATCACCAAAGCCAGACGCCTGCCTGCCTGCCTGCCTAGGACGAGGAAGGAAATACACACACTTGGGTGGTTAACATGGTGTGTGTTCCTCCTGACTTTCAACGTAGAGCAGAAACGGCCCAACGGACGTCGGTTCCGTGTCGGCGCTTCAGGGAGCCAGCGTCTCTCCCGCCACCCCAGCCCAGGCGCCCACCTCCTCCCGCCTCACCTCCCGGGACCTCCAGACTCATCCCCTCACGCCACTCGCACCGTCTCCTCCTCCCACGCCACCCATCTCCCGCCATCCGGCTGGGGTGACTTTCCTAGCACCACCTCTGGTCATGTGACTCTCCCGTTTAAATTCTTCATGCCCTCCTGCAGCTTATAGCTTAGCCTCCTACCAAGGCCCCTAGTGACCCGGCCCGGATCAGGGCCGCCCGCAACCCCACACACTGCATCATCCCCATCCTCTCCCCAGACGGAACACTCTCAGGGACACTCTGCTGTTGTCATTCTGAGGACTCCGGAAGTGCGAGGTCCTTCAGAGACCCCACCTGGGCTGAGCGCCTTGTGGCCTTGTCCCGAGCACATCCCCCGCTGCCAGTTTGGGGACCCCCAGGGCACTGGCCTGCTCTTTCCTCCTGGTCCAGCTGGGGAGCTCCCCTTCGTCCTTCAGGACCCAGCTCCAGCACCGCCCCAGCCCCTGCGGGAGAGAATGAATCTCCCCTTCCCTGCCTCACTCCTCCACCGAACTCTGAACCCTCCCTGCTCTGTCTTGCAAGTGTCTGATTGCAACGGAGTCTCACCTGCCAGTGGAGGGTTTCCAGCTTCTTAAGGGCCGCGTCTTCTCCGTCACTGTGGCCCCATTAGCGTGTCTGTGCCTGGCCCGGAGGGGCGGCTCTGCAAAATGGCTTTGGGGCGAACGCACGACAGGCTTGTAACCAAAGTCTTTGGACCCCGCAGAAAAGTGTCCCTAAGGAAGAAGGCCTCCCCACTGCCCACGCTGAGTGCTTCCTAGAGACATGCGGCCCCTGTCCCCTTGGTCTGCGGGCCCTGCCCCGTTGGCAGAGAGGACACCATTGTTTTCTTGTTGCTGGTTGGTCTCCGGTTGAGGTCACAGGGCATATAATAGGATGGGGGCGGGGCTACATAATATACACACCGATTCAGTAGTTTCCTATCTGGCAAGATTCGAAGGAGGCCAGCAAGGTCTGCTGCTCAAAGCTTCGTGCCATGCCTCAGTGCCAGGGCCTGAAATTTCAGCCCCGAATGTCCTTTTCTCTCCCTCTGGTCCTTTTTTAAATACACATGGTCAAGGGCCACACTGAGTCTGGGGGTCTGTGAACTTCCCTTGTGTCCACAGGGTGGACCGTCCCCGGTTCCATAAGTACGAGTTCGGCGCCTGCACGGGCAGCCTGGCCTCACTGGAGGAGCACGCGGAGCAGCTCAAGGACATGGTGACCTTCTTCTTGGGCTGCCGCTGGTCCCTGGAGGGGGCCCTGGAGAAAGCGGGGCTGCCCAGAAGAGACCCAGCAGGCCATGGCCACATGGCGGCCTACAAGGTAGGGACACATAGGCAAGGGCAGAGTGACTCAAAATTGTGGATCACCTTGTGTTTTCCCACGGTGGGGAGAACACCGGCTCAGGAGGCTGGGCACCCCAGCTCTGTCGCCGGCTCAGCCACTGTTCTAGCTGTGCGACTCGGGACAAGCAGTGAGCCTCTCTGAGCCTGTTTCCTCATCTCAAAAGTGGGGCCAGCAGTCCCCTCTGGGACCGCGGTGAGCACCCCGCTTGGCCTTGAGGGAGCGGACCGAGCCCTGGGGGGATGGGTCGCCATGGCCATGCACCCCAGCCTGGTAGGAATTCGGGCTGCTCCTTTCACCTCGGGGATCTCAGAGAGACTTTGAAAATCCTCCCTGGCTCAGGCTTCCTGGCATCAGTGAGACTGTGCCTGGCGGGGTCCCCGCCCAGGGATTTGTGGCAGAGCCTCGGCCAGGCCATGAGCGTCCGGGCGAGGCCTCTGTCAGGGGAGCCGGGTCATGTTCTTGGCCAGAGGTGGCCGCTGGTGGTCACAGTCATGGGATGGTCACCGCTCCTGCGGGGTGTCTCCCTGCAGTGCCTCTGAGGTCCTCTCCCAGCCGCTGCTTGTCATAGGGAAAGCACCAGGCTCCCTCAGCCCACCGACCCCTTCCGGGACCCTTGTGCGAGGGCGAGAAGTCGATCGCTGGCTGGGTGGCGGGTCAGCTGCGCCCACGGCCCGCTCGGGTTTCTTGGTGGAGGCCTCAGGTTGGGGATTTCAGCTTGGGCCCCAGGACCTGAGGAGAGCTGCAGGTCTGGGCTCCTGCCAGAGAGGCCCGAGCTCCCTCTCTGATGAGAAGCCAGGCTGCCCACAGTGTGAACTGCTTTTCACATGTGAAGTAGGTGCCTGCGTGGTTTTCTCATGTGTGAAGTAGGTGCCCGTGTGGTTTCCTTGAAGGTACAGAGGGGCGGGGCAGAGCCCCAACTGCCAGCAGGGCCTCGGGCCGGTCCGGCCCAGCGCACGCCCTCCCTGCGGTGGGTAAGGGCTGGGAGGGCCTCGGCGCCCACCACATGCAGCCTTTCATTTCAGATGGGGGAACTGAGGCCCAGAGAGAGGAGAAGGCTTTCCCAAGTCCCAAAGCCAGAGTGGGGCCCAGGACTCCTGGCTCCCATCTGTAAAATGTCGTAGGTGGAGGTGTGGCCATGAGCAGGTGCTCTGCACAGAGGTGCTCATCCCACGCAGTCAGCCCATTGCACGCAGTCAGCGGGGCTCCGGGTTTTCCACAACCCCTCACTGCCCCCTGTGGTTACCAAATAGCTTCCAGTTTAATGCTGACACCTCTGCCCATGGGCTCCTGGGAGAGACGCCAGGCAGCCATCTGGGAGTCAGGTGGCAGCTTTGAAGGGATGAAGGAGGCGCCTCAGGTTCGGGGATCGCCGCTGGCCTCCTGAGAGTGTCCCTGGCGTGGGCCCTCTCCCAAATGCTGTTATTGCAGCGCCGAACTGGCAGCTATGCCAAAGTGTTATCTGCCTGCAGCCAGAGTGCTGACAGCAAGCCCTCCAGGCGGCCACCAAAACCATCCAGCGGATTATCGTCCAGGCCAGCTCTGAAATCTTCCCTAAGCCTCCCTGCAGGGATGACCAGAAAGTCACACAGGTCATCCTGGGCAACTTCTACTGAGATGGAGGGTGAAGCAGGGCCCAGTGGGGTCCAGGCACAGGCCTCCACCCCTGTGTGGGCTCAGGAGGCCAAGGACCCCCAGGGCCCCCCCACTCTCTTGGGTTCCTTGGCCCCGCTTCCCAGAGGCTCCCCCTGTGGTCCACTGGCCACTTGAGGTCCACAGAGAAATTTCGGGAGGCCCATGAACTAGGGTGGAAAGAAAAATCACATTTTTCTTTTCATAGCCTCAAACTGACATTGAGCATTTCCTTCGATTGTGAATGCAGGCACCAAGCTGCAGTCGTATCGGCTGGCCCTGTGACGTTGTGGCCGCCGAAGGGACAGCAGATTATTTTCATGTCACTTTACAGACCTTCCAGATTCCTCAGACATGTCCTGTATGTATGTTGATCACGATGTCAAGACCATGATGGTGGCTCTCTTTGTCTTGTTCCTTAATCTGATAATGAAGAAACGCATATTGCTATGTCACATGTTTTCATAATTTAACAACTGCATTTGCAGTGTAATTGGTTTCCTTTATAATCCTATGCATTTGCTTTTATGTGGCTGAAAGTCTCACTTTGACGGGGCTCCGTAGCTGCACCAGAGTACCCAAGGGGTCCATGGCACCCACAAAGTGAAAATTCTCTGTTTTAGACCAATAATTACCAGCAAGCTTCTTCATCTGTCTGTCACATGAGAGTAGAAGCTATATTTTTATAAGAGCTACTGGGACCTCCTACCTACTTCATTCACCGTCTTGAACTCTTGGTACTCAGGGCTCTGATCTGGGCTAATTCTATTTTTTAACATGTTTTTAACTCGATTTTTTGGCAGACAACAGTGCCTTGCATCACAGTTGCTGGCTTTTGCTGCCCTCTGGTGGTCACAATGAGGCCCGTCCCCAAAGACAAGCTGGAAAAGCTGGTGCAAGCCATTTGCTCAATGGAGGGTGAGCAAGGACAACCCATTCACATTGGCGACCCAGGTCAGTGTCCACGCTTGTTGCTCTTACGCTTCAGTCCCAGGAGACAGGAGCTTGCTGTGCTCCTGAGCTCCCATAGCCCTCCCGCATCTGTATTAACTGTGCTGTATTAACTGTATTAAGCAGGTGCCCTCGGGTTTAAAGGCTGCTGCCCTCGGCAGAGTAGTAAAGACCTCCTGTGAGCTTCACGTGAACTGGGGTGGCGGGAGCAGCTGCTGGCACTTGGCAGCAGAGCCATTTGTCTTGAGATTTGAGCTCCGAGCGGCCTCTAACATAGGCTGTTGTTCCGTGGAATACTTGGGTAGGACACAGCTTTGTTCCAAATGCTAACTTGAACGGAGATCCATTGATCCCCAGCCACTGAGCTCAATTTGAGAAAAAACAGAGAGTGAGTGAGCAGATCCAAGCGTGGATTATATCCAGACCTCCTGGCGGCTCTCAGGGGGCCCGGTCGGGGCTCAGGGCTGGGCCTTGGGTGTGAGGCAACGTTTAGCATCTTTGAACTTGCTCACCTATAGGCCAGACACAATCAGACAAAGCATGGCATTCTGAAAAAATACAACCGCACCTGCCACTTTCTTCACGGAACAATCACCCCGGGACCACCCAAAGCAGAGTACCTGCTGATTCTTTTCTCAGGAGCTACACCTATCTTTACTGTCCTTGTGAACAACACCCTGGCTGGCCAGCAGCGGGGACGCTGCCGGTGGCTGAGCGACAGAGTTTGGGCCTCCATTGTGTGACTCAGTCTGTACCAAGCTAAACTCCAAAACACGGGCTTTGTTAGCAATTTACACAATGTAGGTGTCGGGCTGCATGTACCCGAGACGCCCACAGAGGCCGCAGCAGGGCTTTGAGACTCCCCGTCGCTCCACGTGGCCTGGCAGCCAGCGAGCACCCTGTGCTGTTCAGCCCCGATTCCTTTGCTCCTCCCGTCCTTCTCAGCCCCATTTGCACAGCGCTCCCAGGATGAGCGCTCCTCCTGGGGAAGGAACCATAAACGTCTCAACGTGTTCGACGTAGACGGTAGCTGCCAGTGTGGGATCTGGTGGAATTCATTTTCTTCTTCTTCCACCTGCAGAACTGCTGGGAATCAAAGACCTTTCCCAACCTGACTTCGGGGAGCCTGAGGTGTGTCAGCCGGGGGACGTCCCGGTGTTCTGGCCTTCTCACCTGACCAGTCTCGAAGCTGTCAGCGGCTGCAGTACGTCCGGGCTCTGGGGGGCTGTTGCTCTGACCTAGGCTGACACCGGGGGGGTCTGCGGTTCCGGGCAGGACAGGCTTCCGGTGCATTGATTTAAGGAATCAGGTCATGGAGTAACACAAGCCTGCGCCCACAGCGAATAGATCCCTGGCTCCTTTTCTTTTCTTTTCCCCGAGCCCAGGGAGGGGCCTATCGGAGCCACTCATCCTTCAGGTCCCATCCATCTAGATTAAACATATTTCCCTCCGCAGACGGCTCGTAGCCCGTTCTAATGGCCATGATGTAGATTGATCTTTGGAGACACTTTGAAAGCAAAGGTGGAAACAAGCAACATGACTAAACACCCCCCTCCCCGTGGCATCTGCCAGCAGCACTGCCAGCGCAGGTTTCCAAGGCCAAGGGCAACGCGACAATGAAGAGACACACAGGGCCTCACTAGCCCACCGTCAGGGTGGGGCGGGAAAGAAACGTAAAAAATAACTATGGCCACGCATTGTCGTCGACACCTAAAGGCTCTGCGAATCATATCATTGGGTGTTGTTTTCAATTTATTTGAAAGCAAGCATGGAGGTTTAGCTATCAGAATGGCCTCATGGCAGGAAAATATGTCGCTAATACGCCGGTGAGGTGGAAACCTCCAAGACCCACGGGATTCTGTTTCTTTAACATAAATGTATTGGATGCCTACTGTGTGCCTGGCGTGGGCCTAGATTCAGGAACGAAATGCTGGCTGAGACAAGACCCGGCTCTCAGGGAGCTCGTGGTCATTTCACGTGTGCGCTCATGTGTGTACACACCTAACACTCACGTGGTGAATGCCTGCCCTGGCCGCGGCCTCACCCCCTCCTGTCTCAGCCCTGGGGGATTCCCTGCGGCAGAGGCCTCACACCATGGGCGGGCCTCCCAGTGCACGCCAGCCCTGCAGTTCTGTGATCGCATGTTTATGTGATCATAATGAGAACAAAGGGCATTTCGGGTCAGGGACAGCCTTGAATCTCTAATTCACAAAACTCATGCTTCAGCTGGGATGTCTAACTTCTGTTAGCAATGGACGAATTGCCGCACAAGCCCCACCCCTACCCTCGGGGCGCAACCCTGTGTCCCGCTGAGCTGACTCCTCTGATGCCTGGCTTTAGAGCGACCAGTTTTCGGTGCTGTCCAAAACACAGAAAAACAGCGATTGCATTCACCAAAATCTCTAGTTCTCCTCCTCAAACATCATCTCTAAAAGTTAAGTGAGAATGATTTATGCATCTGTCAGTAGGCTTTCCTTCTGAAGTGCTGGCTGACTTTGGCCTCCTGTTGGATCCGAGCTGTTCTACTGTTTTCTGTGAAATCCAAGACATTATTTACTCAATTCCCATCTACATTTCCTGAGCACCTTTTACGTGTAAGGCACGACGCGGGATGCTGAGACGGATAGGCAAGGGTGTCTCGTCTCTGGGAGCACCCAGACGAGTGGGGTTAGAGTGTTCAGGAAAATAAAACGCTGAAAAAAGCAGAAGATGCAAGCTAAGTATAGGAAGAACCCAGCACCTAATGGGCCAGGCACAAGGATGCAGACTGGACAAGATACAGTGCCTGGTTCAAGGAGCAAACCACCATTTACAGAGGGCTTACGCTGGACCGGGCGCTTCGCTAAGCACTTTCACGTGCAGTATCCAGTTTAGCCCTGACAAGCTCAGGAGGCATTACCATTCTTTTACAGCTGAGGTTGCAGGTCTACAGAGGATAAAGTTACATCTCAAACTCAGGGGCATTTGCCATGCTAAAGTTGCGTTTTTAATAACTCTGCCGGGGTTCTTCACGTAGCCTGCCATGTAGTAGGGGAGAATTTTTCTTAAAGAACAAAATTAGCACAAACCAAAGCAAAATATAAGTGCTATGGGAAAAACAGAAGCTACATGCAAAGAGAACTATTTCTCTTAGTGCAAACCTAACACTTTCTGCAACATGAGGCAAGATGGCTAGATGCGTGGTGAGAGTTCAGGAAGTGCTTTCTGAGAGCCATGGGATTAAACTGATGGAAGTTCTTAGGGGCCCAACTGACGCTGTGGCTCTACCGCTCTTCTTCTCTCACACTCACCTCATCTTCATCTTCCTAAAAACTGGAGGCACCTGTTTCAGTGGAACTTGATTTTGCCATAAGTTAGTACGTGGTGCCAACCAATGGAGCAAGGGGTGCGGTTGGCAAAGTGGTGCCTGGTGCCACCTTGCCCACCAACCGTGGGCTAGATCAGAAGGGACTGGGTTTGATGGAGTGGGGTGGGCTCAGTCATTCTCATTGTGTGTTTTAGAGGCCCCGCTGGCTTTCACCAGCGCACCGGGTTGCACAGTTATGACTGACCTGAAGGATATGGAGGCTCCAGCCGGTTGTCTCACCCCAGAGAAAATTCCAGAGGTCCACTGCATTTCCCAAGATCCTTTGCACTACAGCATCACATCAGCTTCAGCCGTTCGGAAGATCAGAGAACTAGAGACTATAATTGCCGTAGACCCAGGTAAGAAGCAAAACATTCGCACCTTCATGGCCTGGAGAAATTCATCACTGATGTGATGTTCAGTGAAAACAGCATAAAACTGCCCCTACAGTATGGTTCTTAAAAGTGTTTTTACTGTATATGAATCCCAAAAAGGCTAGAAGTGCACCAAAATACTGATGGTGGTAATCTCTGGCTAGTGGGATTATGGGTGATTTTTGTTTTTTCCCAAAATGTTCAACCCTAAACATGTGAGAGTTTGGGAGGTGAGCTTATTAGCCGAGCATGTTGGCAGACTAAATTGGAGTTGGCAAGATAAGAAAAAAGGGAGACTTCTTCCTAGGCAGTCAAGGGCCACCATTTAAACACCATCCGTGTATTTCACAATGGCCCTCATCTTCCCCTTTTGTGCCACTGCCCTGGGGCTGGGCAGAGAACAGAATTTTTGTACCGGGCGGCAGGGGCGGGGCAGGGGCTGGCTTACCACTCCCTGGGGGAGCCTGGTGCGGCTGGTCCCTGCTGTTTGCTTCAGTACAGGTTGTGGCCAACACGTATATTACAATTGCGTCTCATAATAAACAGCCTTTCTGTGGCTTGTAAGCCTCTGGCTTTCAGGATAGGGATGAGCTAGTGGGACCCACGAGGGGTCTACTGGTTCCAACTAAGAGGAGGTTTGCTGAAAGCTGGATGACAGGCTTTCAACTTCCGGCTGCGTCTTCATTAAGAAGCCGAAGTCCTAATCCCAGGTGGCCAGCAGAGGGCGCCATTGTGCACGGATGGCTTGGAGAGTTTGTCTGTTTTATTTTTCTCTGAGAAAGGTTCACAGAGAAGGATTGTGTCCACTTCACAGCCACTCTCCACCTCAGTTTCCTCACTAACATAACAGGAGTAATAACAATTATACTGCCCGGTCAGGGTTCCAATAGGGGACAGGAATAATAGCTATTATCTGCTAACTTTTACTCTGGGCATGTGCTAAAAACATTTGCATGTTTCATCTTATTACATTCTCCCAATAACCCTGTGAGGCAGCTGTTATTAACTCCCTGTAGGAGATGAAGAAACTGAGGTGTATAGGTTAAGGGACTTGCCCAAATCCACCAACCTAGTAGGCGGTGGTAGATGATTGGGCAGCCCTTGAACCCACGCCTGCCAACTCCAGGCCGCGATCCGTAGGTGTTGGATGCGTTGGAATCGGAACTGGAATGGTATGGCACAGTCTCTCCCGGGCAGTTAAGCTTGCTCCAGCCTCTCCTACTCACACGCCCTTCCCTCTTGGGCCCCTTCTCATGGGTTGGGATGCTAGCCTGGCTTGTTCTTTGCACTTTGCCTGTCTGAGGGAGGTGCACGTGGCTTCCCTGCTGGGGCACCCGTTTCTCAAGCAGGTACCTGGATCGGTGCGGGGGGGGTGCCCTGTAGAGAGCAGGGGAGCAAGACCAGCCTGGGGAGGTCAGCCATCCAGACCAGGCTCGGGAGACCCAGACAGCGGATCACAGTGACATCGGGGTAGAGGGCACACCCGGACAGGGCCATTGAGCAGGCAGCCCGGGCGCCCTTTTGTGCTGGCCAGCGTTGTGGCGAGAATCTGATAGCACCAACCAGCCTGAGAAATGTCTGATCTTCCCCTGGGCCTGGGAGCAAAGGCTGCCCCCCAGTTACAGACGGGTCCGCGGTAACCAAAGTAACCAGGGGGTATAGTTTTTGCTTATTCGTTTGTTAGGTCTTTCATTTGTTCATTCGTTCATTCAATTATCCTGCAGGGAACACGGTTTCCTTCACATATAGACACGCAGTAAATGTGGGAACCCCCCCCCCCCCGAAGCATGTGTTAGGATAAACTTCTGTACAGAGGTGAGTGCTCACACCTCTGAGCATCCCTAGAGCCTATTCCGTAGTGAATCTTCTTGGAGGACATTTTCTAAAAATTTCTGAATACTTTCTCACAAACATTCTTACCCGCACTGACGTCTCTCCCGCTCAGCAGAAGGATCGGGGAAGATGAATTATTGACTCTGCTATTGGCTCAGACAAAAAAATAAAAAAGCAACTGTGAAGTAAATTTACTGCAGATTCAGAGCCGCCACGGCTCAATAAAGATAAGCCAGGAGGCCGCCCGCTGCAGCCGGCCTCGGTGCTTGCGCCACCGGGAGCGTGAGGCTCAGGGGAGGCAGATTTATGACGGCCTGGACGTGCCAATATCATCTATTAAGGAACATCTTTAATCCTCCCGAACAACAGATGCTCGAGTCCCACTCTTTTCAATAGCAGATATAAGATTAATGGCAACGGACTGAGCATTACTCAGTGGGCATAATAATAGAGCTACTCAGTCATTTTTGAGAGGAGACTGGCTTGCATTTGAGGTGCCTGGAGACTATAAAGGAATACAAGGTTTATAAAAATGGTGTTTGTACCACTAATAAAATCATCGTAACTGGACAGACCACATTCATGTTGATCAAATTTTCTCTTTCCTCCTTTCTCTTTTTGGTGCTCACATCCTATGAAATAGGTTACAATCCAATTGTTTTCTTTCAAGATGGTATTTCTCTCCCCTTTTATCAACGGCAACTCATGTTCATTGTATAAATATATGAAAGTAAAGAGGCAATAAAAATGACCAGAACCCCATCCTAATGAACCGTCATTAATTTAACAGTATCCTGTTTGCCCTTAAAGTCTTTTTCTTCGGTCTTGAAACTATAAGACTAAAAAAATTAAAACCAATATACAGGGGTGGGCAAAAGTAGGTTCATGGTTGTTCCTATGGAAAAAGACATGCAGGTTATGATTGTTACGGTAGCTTTAGTAACTCTGTGTTTTGCATACTCACAACTGTAAACCTACTTTTGCCCACCCCTGCCAAACATGTATGTGAATCACGCTGTGATGCTATTTTAGAACTTGACCTTTAAAACTTTTTAATACACTGGGAACATTTTTCCATGTTATCGGTCTTTTATAACAATCTTGTGTTTGCATAGAATTCCATTTTACAAATGTTCCACCAATTTTATTACTATCCCCTTTGACACCATAAACGATGCTGCCGTGAACATCCTTCTGACTGTTGGTCACACACCTGTGATCACTTTATTAGGATGTGTTCCTAGAAATGATTGCTGGCTCCAGGGTACAAATCCAGGGACAAAATTGCCCTCCAGACGAGTGTTCTCGTTCCCGCTCCCACGGGCAGTGCGTGCGGGGCCATTTTCCCACACAGTGTCCCTCCACCTGGACCACCCCCTTGCTCCACGAGGCAACACTGAGGTTCAGAGCAGCCAAGGGTGAGGCCAAGGTCACACAGCTACAACGTGCCAACACTTGGACTCGAATGTAAGTTTCCAGATTCTAAATTGGGAACTTTTCCTCCATAACAGGAATCTAGACGCTGTGTACCTTCCTAGTCGCCAGGCACCTGAAATGCAAGCTGGCATCCTCTCACGTCCCTTAGGCCCGCCTCTCACTTTAGCCACAGCTGGGATGGAAGTTCTGAGTCATATCCTGCCTTCACGTGGCACAGATACGTTCCAAGGTGACCCGAGCGTAGACAAAGGCACAATGGTCCGTGATGAGAGTCGGAAGGCTCGGCTGCCCGGCTGGGACCGGCTTGGAACCCGCTGGGGGCAGCGATGGCAGATGCCACGGGGACCCTGCCCAGAACAGCTGCAGCGGGTGGGTCCCAGAACAATAGCTCTGACCTTGGCCTGGGGCCTCTCTGCTCCCCCATCAGAGCAGGCACAGCGCCCAGGAACGGCAAGGGGTCAACATCCCGACGGGCAGCCATCACCCCGTGGGGCACAGGAGCCGGTGCATAAACGCCCCTCTCCCCGTACCTGGGAGGACAGTCCTCAGGTGTGTTCCACACCATTCCTTGCAGTATCTCAAGCAGGACTGAGCCCAGCTGCGTTCACCTGCTTTCTCACACATTCTTCAGTGGTTTTTCTCCCTTCTGACTCATTTCTTGGGCCCACCTTCCACAGAAACACCTGCACCCAAGCCCTTGTCTCAGGGTCCTCTTTTGAGGGCATCCCCAACCAAGTGTTGTGTCCCTTCCTCCTTCCATGTCCCTTGTATTTGGGTTTGTTATAATAAACCCCAAGATGCTTTGCTCAAATGAAATAGAAATATACGCCTCTCAAGCAACAGTCCAGGGTGAGACTTCCACCTTGACTGTTTTACTGAAGCAGGAAGGGGGCTCTGCTCCACGCATCACTCGGGGACCCAGCAGCTCTGCCATCACGCCGTGAGACCCTCAGGGGGCGCCCGTTGTCAGCCTCCCAGCCCCCAGGAAGGGAAGAGCTTAGAGGCGTGCATGGGAGGTGTGTGGCCAGCAGGTGGCGCACATCATCCCTACTCTTACTCCCTTTCAACCACTCTGCGATTGTTACCTAGAGAGAACCTGTCCCAGCGGCCACAGCTCACTGAGAGGCTGCTCAGACATTTACCCAGCCACCTTCACTACTGGGGTGGGAGAAGAGAATACATTCTAGGGAATGATTAGCAGTCTCTGGCACGTCCCTCAAATCCAGCTCTGAAGCAAACAAAAAACCAAACTACTGTTTGCCTAAGTTTCTACTTGAAACCCAATGACGTCATTTTGTGATTTTTCTTTTACATGTAATTCTAGGCAACCGGGGGATCGGGCACCTGCTCTGCAAAGATGAGCTGCTAAAGGCCTCCCTGTCGCTGTCACATGCCCACTCGGTGCTCATCACCACCGGGTTCCCCACGCATTTTAACCACGAGCCTCCGGAAGAGACAGATGGCCCGCCCGGAGCCCTTGCTCTGGCCGCCTTCCTGCAGGCCTTGGAGAAGGGCGTCTCCATGGTGGTTGACCAGAGAGCCTTGAGCTTGTTCAAGACGCTTGTTGAAGAGGCTGTTGAGCAAGGTGAGAAATTAGGGGGGAGAGGTGGAGGGAACCGGCGTCTGTGGAACTTCTGCCGCGCACTTGACACGGGGCCTTTTAAGTCCTCAAAGCTCAGAGCTACTCTTCAGAATAAGCAACATTATCTCCCAGTGATTTTATTATTTTATAGAGGACGAGACTGAGCCTCTGAGAGGCCCAGTGATTTGCCAAGTGGGGAATGGTGATCTGGAGGCCCAGGTACCTGACGCCTTCCCGAGGAGAGGTGAGGGTGACTGACAGAGGACCCTTAGCAACCCAGGATACCCGTGGACCCCTGGCATTGGGGGTGGGATAGTCGAGAATAGAGTGGTCGAGAGGCCCAGGCAGCTGTGTCCCACCTGGCCCAGACGGGAAGGGCCGCCCTGCCCTGCCCAGGCCCTGGAGCACCCAGGGCGGGTGTTAGGGCCGCGAGCGAAGGTGATGCGAGGCTCGGGCGCCAAGATCGGTCTCAGGTGCCTCACCTGCCCTCTGTCCTGCAGGCGCTATTCAGGCATAAGCCGGGAGCCTGGTGAGTCTCCCTGCGTCCCACTGCCTGTCCCTCTGCGTCCCTCAAAATGCATCCTTCAGGAAGAAGTGGTGTTTCCTTTTAGCCTCTAACAAAGGCTTCAACCCCAGACGGCACACCCTAAAGCGCCATCGCGTTGGAAGTGCCAAAAAAAGGTGGTGTCTGAATGTACAGAATCCATATCATGCAGCAAATGTATGTTGAGTACCTACTGTGTGCCAGGCACTGTTTTCGGCTCTTGAGATCCATCGATGGACAAAACTGATAACAACCCTCGTGGGGTGTCTATTCTAGTGGAGTGTGACAGACAGTAAACAACATAGGGAAAAAAGTAAAAAATATATGTATAGCCCAGGGGGTGGGCTGCTGTGTTAAACAAGATGCTCAGACAAGGCTTCCCAGAGAAGGCGCCCTTGGAGCCGAGACTTGATGTCGATGAAGGAGTGAGGCCGGGCTGGCTCGAGGAAGCATGTCCCAGGCGGAGGCCATGGCCAGGACGGGGGTCACTAGGGGGAGCTGAAGAGAGGCCAATGGCCAGCCAACTGGCCTGGAGAGGACGAAAAGAAGTCTGGGTAAAGGGGACAGGGGCCGCGGGGGCCAGACCGGGAAGGGCCTCAAGTTTGACTGGGAGCGCCTGGCCTTTTACTCTGGGTGGAGGTGAGCCGTGTTCTGACTTAGGTCTTAAGGGACCAGCCAGGTAGCTGTAGGGGCAAGGCTGGAAACAGGAGACTGGCCAGGCTGATGCAGGCGGGATGAGAGAGTGGCTTGGAGTGGGTGGTTCCCTGCAGCCTGTCCCTGTGGCCCCCTTGTGACTTTAGCTGTAACTAGAGTGGAAGTTCCAAGTCGCATGGGCCTGACCAGCCCATCACAGACAGCGCCCTGCAGGGTTTCTCCAAAGCTGAGAAAAACCCCTCAGCCCGGAAGTCTGGCAGCTAATGTCCTTAGGGGGTGGGCTCGACCAAGACAGGACGGAGCTCGGTGATCGCAGCTCGGTGCCCTGCCTCCCATCTTTTGGAGACACACAGGTCCCAATGGAACTGAGACCTCCATTACCTGGAGCAGTGACCTAGAAAACACATATCCCCTCCTGTTGGCTTTTCCTCCCTCCCGTCCTTTCCTGCTCCCTCCCACCTGCCTCCTGGGGTCATCTCCTGATAAACCACCTGCACCCACGTCTCTGGCTCACACTCCAATTCCAGGGGAACCCAGACAGGTGAATGGCACAGGTGGATGTTGTGAGAAATAACCAGGACACTCTATGTTTTTAAGGTAGAGTCCTGCTTCCCGGGCAGACTGGATGCGGTATGGCAGAGGAATCAGGGGTTGCTCTTAGGGTTTGGGGGCATAACTGAAGGGAAGGAGCTGCTGTGAATGGGGGTGGGGTGAGCGAGGCGGTGGGCGGAGCAGGCTGACCGTTGCGCACTGTTGGTGGGAATGGTGCGACCACTGTGGCAAATCGTATGGTGGTTCCTCAAAAAATTAAAAATAGAAAATATCTATATGGTTCAGCAATTTCACTTCTGGGTATACCCCCAAATATTTGAAAACAGGAACTCAAATAGATATTTCACACCCACATTCATGGCAGCATCCTTCACAACAGGCAAAGCGTGCGAGCAACCCAGGGTCTGTCAGTGGACGAACGGATAAACAAAACGTGGTACACCCGTGCCGTGGAATATTTTTCAGCCCTTACAAGGAAGGAGAGCCTGTCACATGCTACAGCATGATGAACCTTGAAGACATCATGCTAAGTCAAATAATCCAGACACAGAAGGACGAGTACTGCATAATGCCACTTACATGAGTAATTAACATCGTAGGGACAAAAAGATGAATGGCGTTGGTCAGGGACTGTAGGGGGGAGGGGAGAGGGGTTAGTGTTTCATGGGGACAGAGTTCCCGTTCGGGAGGATGCAAAAGTTCTAGAAATGGATGGTGGTGACGGCCAAACGACACAAATGCACATAACGCGGGAGAACTGTACCCTTAAAAATGGGTAGGATGGTAAATTGTACGTGATGTGTATTTTACCACAAATCCTACTTTAAAAAGAGGGCAGGTTGGAGGCTGGTTGACAGAGGGTGACATATGCGCTAGACACACAAGTGGAGAAGTCAGGAAGGCAGTTAGATCTACGAGTCAAGTTCAGGAGAACAGCCTGGGCTGGAAAGATAAATTGGAGCATGGTTGGCACATTGATGGCTTTTAAAATCAAGACACTGGATGAGATCACTGAGGGACTAAGTGGAGGCGGAGGAAAGGACCCTGGGACCCTCCACATGGCGGGGTCGCAGGGAAGGAGGGGAGTGAGCAGAGAGACAGAGAAGGAGCCGCACCGAGGAAGGAGGAAAACCAAGGGGCTGTGTTGCCATCAAGGAGAAGGGACGGCCAACTGTGCCAAATGCTGCCAACCAACCAGCCATCATCCCCACCCAAGACCTGGTTGGTGGATAGTTTTAGCCGCCCACCTTCCCAGAAGTCACCCCGCTCAGGGGCTCACATTGAACTTGAGCTCAGACTTGGGCACATCCACATGGTGGCTTAGCAGATACGATTTGCTGTGTTGGATTTTACAGAACTGTCATTACACGTGGACAAAGAAAATAGAAGGGATTTGACCTTTTAATGAAAAGGATTCCGTTCTTTTTATAACGGAAGCCTAGGAAATGTTTTAAGAAGAAAAAGCTGAGTCATTCCTTCTGTGTCTTGGGTAGATATTGACCATGTTGATTAATTAGTTCCTTGTAGCTCAGGTGCAAAGTCTCGTCTTACCTTGAACTTGCCCATCACGTGAGCCCACGGCGGGGACAGGTCATGTCTCCTGCTCTGTGGGGCCGCCTGTTTGGGTGGGAACTGATGTGGTGACACCAACCTCCCTACTAGGCTTTGCCCAAGCGATTTAGCATCTCTGAGCCCGTTTTCCTCCTCTGTGATATGGAAATCACGTGGTTCTTATCACACAGAATTGTTGCAAAAATTAAACAAGAGTGTGCATGTCACGTGCTTAGCAAAGGGCCAGCTCACTGTCCCCGTGGACACTTGAATGTGTCCCCAGCACCATGACGACAGTGGCTCTGAGCAGGCCTGGGTGCACGCGGTGCATAGCACCTAGGGGAGCACATTCGCGAGCCCACGCAGGGGTGACACCGGCCCGATTTCCCCTCACCCTCCGCCAGCCCCCCGGGTTCACTCAGGACTGACAGTAAGGAAACTCGAGTTTCCTCTGGGCCGAGGTCTTGGCTCACCTAACACAGCGTCTATGGGCAACTGTCATTCAGTAATGGAATGGCCATTTCCAAAGAAGCTTTTGAAAAGCCAGCAGGAGCTCCCAAAATTCACACCAGGCTGATGGGCTCCTCTCTGCCTTTTCAAGGTGTCCTGAAGGCACAGATCCCGGTACTGACTTACCCGGCTGGGTCGGCGGGGGCTGCCCGGACATTCCTCTGCGGTGATGGGGGCCCCAGGGCTCCTAGGTATGTGTGTCCTGTCCCAGTTTGTGTTTTTTAAAGTTTTATTTATTTTTAGAGAGAGGGGAAGGGAGGGGTGGAGAGAGGGGGAAGGAAACATCAATGTGAGAGAGAAACATCAGTCGGTTGCCTCTTGTACCCGCCTCAATAGGGGACTGAACCCACAACCCAGGCACGTGCCCCAATTGGGAATCAAACTGGCGACCTTTTGCTTTGCGGGACAACACCCAACCGACTAAACCATACCAGTCAGGGCTCCCCACCAGAGAGAACAAAGCCGTGAGCCCACGGGATCCAGTGGGCCAGACTAACCAACAAGGCTGTGGGTTCAAGGTGCATTGGGGGCTTCACAGGGCGCCTCTTGAAGTAGCAGGTTCCTGAGAGACGGCATGTCTTCTGGATAGAGGGAGAAGAAAATTATAAAAACAAATGAGCAGTTTCTCAAACTGGGTCATGATCTGTTGGAAAGTAGTGAATTCATTTCAGTGGAGGGCAACTAGCACCTTTGTCAAATGCAATAAAAATGTTACTATATGTCCTGCCTAACGAGAGCAAGTACTTGCTTGCGACACATTGTGTGTGCACCCGTGTGTATTTTTTACTGTGCTGTGGTCAAATATTTTGAAAAACACTTCTGTTTTGTATTTCAGATCTCATAATTTTTAGTGCCGTGTTGTGCACACTTTTTTGACAACAGTCCACAGTAATACACTTCACATTGCAAACCACACACGCCCATAATTGAAAGAGAAGTTTCGAAAAACAATATTTACTCTTGCTACATGCAATGTACTCTGACCTATTCTACTCTGTTCTGTTCTACTCTGTTGTTACCAGCTTTCCAGAAAGTGCTGACCAGATCTAATAAATCTATTTTACAACCCACTAGTGAGTGTCCACTCAGAATTTTAAAACCCTACCTTTATAGAGCTGGAGGACATAGCTATATTGCAGCTTGCAGCAAAATCAGGCGTTCACGGGGAGGACCAAATACCTGAGGAAAATTCGATTGCAGAGCCGATATGCTGCTTAAAGCTGCAAGAATGTGTGTGGCGCTGTTAGAAATGGTTGTGTTTCCTGAATGGCTGGCACACACACAAGCCCTGGCTGCTCAGGGAGAAGCTCTAGAAACCCTCGCAGGCAGGCCCCTGATGCCAGATAACAGGTGCTGCTCCGCTTGTGGGGTGAAGGGACGTGAGCCAGGTCTGACCACAGGGAGAGAGGATTCTGCTCTCCCTGGAGAAGACGCATTAACCTTTCCCAGGGAGCAGCCTTCCCAGGAGAGAATTACTTCCCACGGTAGCTAAATGGGCCCTCCTAACTTAAAAAAAAAACCAATCAATCTACCATCACAAAGTATTTTGCCATGTATAATTCTCACGTTTTTGCCCAACAAATTTTTGAGGGAAAAATAAAGATGCACATTATACATGGGTAGTGCTAATTCTGCATCTATATAAATGTTTTTAATTCTTTTATTTATGCTTATGCATTAAAAGTGTAACTCCAGAAAGCAATAATGATACATGTATGCAAAATAATACACTCAAATATGCAACTAGTTTTGTTTCTACATATTAATTAATTAATTGAAAAATTAAAACAAAAGATTTTTTTTTCCTGAAAGTTTGGATCAAAAACGGGGTGTGCCCGGTACACGGCAAAACACGGCATGCCACTGAGCTCTCCCCGGAGGAAGGTCCAGAAGCAGCGTTCTCTTCCGGGCACAGAGGATGCGTGGGGCTCCACGGCAGCTCTTGGGCTGACGTGTTTGCCGTCATCACCGCTGTGGGTCTGCGGGAAACGCAGGGTCCGCTCCCTCCTCCCGAGGCTCCTGCTTCTCGGCGGCTGCCTTCCCTGCACTGGGCATGCGCCTCAGGATTTCACTCCAGGCCCTGCTCAGTGGTCTACTCACCCACGTGTATGCGGAGCCACCGCATTCTAGCCCGACCAAAGGACCCAGCGTGAAGATTTTGTTTTTAAAAACTGATATTCAGAGAAAACTTTCAGAGTTAAGATTTTTTTTATTATGCTAAAATATACATAACATAAAGTTTACCATGTTTGCACCCTGGCTGGGTGGCTCAGTTGGTTGGGGCAGCGTCCCGTGCACCAAGAAGTGGCAGGTGCACTTCCTGGGCAGGGCGCAAACCTGCGCTGCAGGACTGGTCCCCGGTCGGGGTGCAAACAGGAGGCAACTGATCAATGTTTCTTTTGCGTATCAGTGTTTCTCCCTCTCTGTCTCTCTCTTTCTCTCTCTCTCTCGAATCAATAAACATATCCTCAGGTGAGGATTAAAAAAAAAATTACCCTTTTTGCCATTTCAAGTGTGCAGTTCAGTGACATTAAGCACATTCACATCGTTGTGCGACGGTCACCACCCTCTGTCTCCAGAACTTTCTCATTTCCCCGAACTGAAACTCTGTCCCCATTGAACATTATTGTTCCCTGCCCCCACCCCCAATAAACACCATTCCACTTTTTATCTCTATAAATTTGACTGTTCTAGGCACCTCTTACAAGTGGAATCCTGTAGTATTTGTCATTTTGTGGCGGGTTTATTTCACTTAACAAAATGTGCTTGGGAAGCATCCATGCCAGAAGGTATCAGAATGTCTGTCTTTTGAAAGGCTGAATGACATCCCATTGCATGCATATACCACACTTTGCTTGTTTGTTCATCCGTTGATGGACACTTGGGCTGCTTCCACCTCTTGGCTATTGTGAACACTGCTGCTCGTTACATGGTTGTATAAATCTCTCTCTGACTCCCGTTTCCATTCTTTTGGATGTATACCAGAAGTGGGATTGTTGGATCATATGGTAAGTATTTTTAAATTTTTTTGAGTAAGCACCACGCTGTTTTCCACAGCAGAGTTAAGATTTCGAAGAACTCCATTGTGGAGTGGGGAGGGGATTTTGAGAGATACGAAAGTGCAATTTTCATGCTCTTAAACTGGGTCATCAAAACAATGCTCTTCCTAGTAATGAGGACAGCAACCACAGCCACAACCGGAACCCGTACTGAGCGCTTGGTAGGTGTGGGGCTGTGTGCTAAGCACCTCTTGTACGTTTGCTCTCTTAACCCTTTACACCCTGTGTGAGACGGGCTGCTGTTAGGTCAGGTGACAGAATGCAGAAAAGGAGGTTGGAGAGGTGAAGCAACTTAGCCAGACCCAGTGGTGTGAGGAGCTGCGTGGTCCAACCGCACAGCCGGCATTCCTGCCCCCTGCCGGCGGCCCCCTTACCCCTCGGTCTCTTCTGTCTAAAGAAGTTTATCTTGCGGTAGATTCATTGGTCTAATATTTCAACTTTGTTTTGGCCTCTTTGTACCTGTAAGCTGAACAACATCCTGGAAGAGAGCAGCAGTGGGCCAGGAGCAGCCGACACCCAAACCACTGGGTGTGGGCTCCCCCACTGTTAATGGAGGTCTGGGCGGGTCACGTGACCCTGACCGTGGCCTTCCTGCGCTCACGACTTCTGCCTCTAATAAGTTGCTAAAGATTCTGATATCATTTCTTACCATGATGTGACAGACTAGCCCTCTAGGACAGGCCCTGGTGCTTAGCAGGCAGCCAGCCAAGTTCTGTAGGAATGAGAGTCCGTCGCACAAACATGTGAAGGCATGGTCTCCCAACCCCCACCCCGCCCACCCCCGGCCCACAGCAGCCACACTTTCCCTAAGGAGCCTGTGCTCTTGCTCCCTGGCAGATTCGACCATCTGGTGGCGATAGAGCGCGCAGGACGGGCTGCTGATGGGAATTACTACAATGCAAGGAAAGTGAACATCAAGCATTTGGTTGATCCCATTGACAACCTTTTCCTTGAAGCCCAGAAAATTCCTGGAATCTCATCAACAGGTGAGCAAGAGGCACCAAGAATTCCACACAAACGTATCAGTGCGGAACGCCTTTCTATTGACTATTGAATGCAGGACAAGAAAGAGTTATATGGGGACCATTGTTTTCCACTCCAGAGCTGGTCTTTTTTATTGTGGTCCCTAAGGCAACGAGAGTGTCATTTAGAAATCCAATGTGCTGGCAAGCAACAAAGGGAAATGACATTTATCCTAGCATATCCTATTTTCCCAACTTTAAAATGGTAAAGCTAATAATAGGATAATAATAAAACCAAGGCATGGCCTATTATTTTGGTCACGTAAGATGAATGTACCATGTATACTATGTATCTTGTTATTGGCAAGACCTCGGTTCTCATCTACTTGAAGGAAAGATTTTAGTCAAGAGACAAAGTGCAGTAAAGCAAGCAGGATTTTGGCCACAGCAAAAGCTCTCAGAACAGTGAAACAGGAAGGGGCATAGCGTAGAAGCAACCACGGCAGAGCCGAGGGGGGCTGCCTTAGCTCACTGGGAAGGTGGAGAAAAGGGGGCCTTGGGGACAGGTTCAGGGGACGAGCCTGGGATGAGCTGCTGCTGCCCATTGCTCCCCTGGTTGCGAGTCTCATGCAGCCCCTTAGAGTTTAAGACCTATGCACCTGTTGGAGGGAAAAGGGAGACACAGGCTGCTCCCCAGGGGGAAAGCACACACGGGGTCCTTTGTCCTGAGGGCATTTATTTCCCTCCTGGAGGCAGGAATCTGGGGAGGGGGCAGGTTTCAGGGGAGGGTCGTAACAGGCTATTTATTGGCTTCCCAGTGTGTCTGTTCGGGGCCGTGGTCTGGAGCGACCGTTGGCGCCTGGGCCGGGGGTCGTCAGTCACTGCAGCCGGTCCTGAGGCAGCCGTGGTGTCGCTGGCCTGGTTTTGCCGATTTTCTGGGCCCGGAGCTGAAGCACAGCTGCGGCCTAGATGTTATCCTCAGGGAAGAAAAGGGAAGGGCCCGAATCGCAGGACAGGGGAGATGTCAGGGGCCGAAAGGTCACCCCGGGGGCAAGGCCCTCGTCTTCCCGCGTTGGCTGTTGCTAGGCCCCGGGCGCTCTGCCTCCAGCAATCTTATGGAGCATGTTAGTTTTCAACATGTTAACTACAGATTAGTGCAGCGTTCTGACTGCTAACAATATCATAGCGTGACCATTCGTATAGAGTACAGAACTTCGTCGTTTCCAAAAAGGTTTCACATTTATCACACTGTTTAAGCCTCTTTAGAACCCTGTGAGGTGGAGAAGGCAGGTACACGATGTCCAAAACTGAGGCCCAGTGGGGCTTCCTGAGGTTGCCTAACTAACTGGTGTTGCTGGGAGAATTAAGACCAGAGGCCAGGCTCCCAAGACCCTACCCGATAAGCTGTTCATGGAACCTGTGAAGCTCTGAAAGGCTTGAGGTGACTCCTAAGGAGCCCGTCTCCCCCCGGCCCCTGGGGGCAGGCAGGTGTCAGGCCCTGGAGTCCTGCAGGCCTGTTTGCCACCCTGTGTTTATCTGTTCTCTCAGACACTCCAGAACGCTTCCCAGGCTCATTAGTGCTTTAGGCTTTTAAGGGTTTTGATGAGACAATGAAAGTCTCCTGGCTGATTAGAAAATTTCTGCAAATCTGCTCTGACCTTCCCAGAATTGGCCTGGGTGTGGTGCTCACAGTGCAGTCAGTTTGGTCACTTCCAGTCACTCGGGGCTGGGGCGGGGGGTGGGGGGTAGCGGGCGTGTCCCACCCACAGCCCAGGGCCACACGCAGCCCAGGACAGACGGCTGTGAATGTGGCCCAACACAAAGTCGTCAGTTTACTTACACCACTATGAGATTTTTTTTCTGTGTGACTATGTATCATAATGTATTGAATGTGTGGCCCAAGACAACTCTTCTTCCAATGTGGCCTAGGGACACCAAAAGGTTGGACACCCATGACTAGGGCCTGTGGGGAGAGTCCAGGGAGGAGAAGGAAAGGGCCTCTGAGTCCACCCTTCCCCCGCTGCACATCCACCCTCCCCGTGCTGACCCCCCGAGTAGGCCCCCGGAGATCCCAGAGCCCAGAGCAAGCCCGCGGAGCTGACTGGGCCTCCACACCCTCTCTCTGTGGACCTCTTCCTGCCTCTCACGGCCTTGGGTGCTTAAGCGGTGGCTTCCCGCAGCCCCCCATGTCCTTTCTCTCCTCTGCTCCATCAAACCCCGCTCCTCAGTCTCCCCAGGCAGCTGCCTTGTGTGCCGTAGCACTGAACTGGAACCAAACCCCCGCCGCTCATTGCCACCCTGCCCGTCCGGCGCCCCTCGGAGACTGCGGCTCAGCGAGGAAAACAAGGCCACAGACAGGATGCCATTCGTAACACGCTTGAGAGTAAAGGCAGAAATAGACAAAAGGCTGATGCTGGGTGCTGTTATTGTTGACCCGCATTCAGTGGGCTGTCCTGCATCGGGAAAGCTGCTCTGAGAACACTCCCCCAGGTGCAGACCTCAGGAACTTGGTCATTCACAACTGCCCGGTTCTTCTGGCTGAGCCAGGTCTCTTGTGGTCAAGGTGGGCCACCTCTAGTTCCCCTCCCTGCCTTCTTGCGATGAACGCTGACCTCTGGTGCATTTCCCGCATAGCCCAAGTCTCTGTAGAAACAGATGCAAACCCTGTCGTGCAATCACGCGAGGCATAACGATGTTTCAGTCAACACAGACCGCACACATCATGGTGGGCCCGCAAGGTTAGGATGGAGCTGGAAAATCCCTGTCGCCTAGCAACGTCGCAGCCATCCTAACGTCGCAGAGCGTTGCATTACTCGCCTGTTTGTGCTGATGCTGGTGGGAACACACCTGCCATGCAGCCTGTGGCGAAGACGTACAGCACACTCTGCCATGTACAGTACATACTACGTGTTCATGATAACGAACAACTGTTACTGGTTTATGTATCTACTATGCCGTATTTTATTGCCATTTAGAAGGCACTCTTTCTATATAAAAAAGCTTGCTGTGAAACGGAATGCCATGTTATGCTGGCCGCAGCTTCATGCATCTCACGTTTACTGCATCTCTTAATTGTATCATTAAATCAAGCATCATGCTGCTTGATTTAACCTTGCGTTCTGATCACCTCAGCCCCTAACTGAACAAAATCACTGCTCATGTTGCCGGCAAGAGGCCACGTTGAGTGGCTGACTTAGAAACTGCAAAGGTTGAGGACCACGCAGGTGGACACCCGGCGACGGTGGTGGCTCGCCAGCCAGGCACGCCCGTCCCACCAGAGCCACGATCTGGAAGAACGAGAGCCCCGCGAGAGGAGCTGCAACAGGCGTTGCTCCACTGAAGACAATGAGCGGAACAGGACTCTGAGAAGGGACTAGGCCAGACGTGGAGAAACTTCTAATGACCTGGATTGAGGCCTGACACAGCAGCGGGTCCCTCTCAGCTCCATGAGGATCACGACCAACGCAGAAAGTTTCTTCACTATGGGGAAAGAAAAGGCTGGCTCCAGTGACGAATTTACTGCTGGCTCGAGGTAACTGAAACAGGGAAGAACCATTGTTCACTGCACGGTGTAAACGTGAGTGAGCGAGTGCTGAGCTGAACAAGGCTGGGAAACTCTGGATAAGCTGGTTGTGGAGGAAACATTCTATAGGGGTGAAACCTCCCTGTTCTGGGAACAGGTGCCTGAACGGACCTTCACCCAGAAGGAGGCCGAGCCAATGCCAGGCTTCAAGGCACTAAGGACAGGAGAACCGTCTGCCTCGGGGGGACGCCGTGGCCACACTCTGAATCCCTCTGCGATGTGGCACAGAGAGCGCCCTGGGGCCTTCAGGCCAATTGCACAGCACCCCCTGCCAGCGCCCTGCAGGAGCAACAGGCAGTCGTGGGCGACCCAGCTCCTCCTCCGAGGTGCCCTCCTGACCGGCTGTGTTAGCTATGTGGAGGGGTATGTTTGGAGAATAACATACTTCTCGGGATTTTGCTTATTGTTGGTAATGCTCCCAGACAGCCTCCTTTCGTTGATGATCTTCATCCCAATATCAAAGTGTTTCTCCCTTCGAACGTTCCCTCTTTGATCCAAACAATAGATCAAGGCATTAGAGCAGCTTTGAAGGCCCCCTGCCCACGGAGGCCCCCTGCCCGGGCTCCTGCCGCTGCCGAGGAGGGTGCTGCGAAGACGCTGATGCAGCTCTGGGAGGAGGGCAGCATCTGCGACAGCATCGGGAACCGTGCCTGGGGAGGGCTGATGTCACCAAGGAGTGTGTGGATGGCATCTGGAAGAAGACACTCGAGAGGTTTGTCCATGACGTCGAAGGATTTTCCAAGGATGAGGAGGTTGCAAAGCCACCCAGGCTGTGGCTGAGGTGACAAATGACATTAGCCAATGACCTCGAGGGTCTCTGAGCGGTGGTTCCTGAGGAACTGGCTCGTGCGGAGTGGCTGGAACTGGAGTGGGAACGCAGAGCTAAAGAAGCAAGAGAAAAGGAACCTACAGGAGAAGAAAAAGAAGACTCCCCAAGAAAACAAGTAGTGAAGGGTTTAGCGGATGCTTTTGCAGACCTCAACGAGCTCCTTAAAAAGTTTGCAAACACGGACCCCAACACAGAATGGTTTTCACTAACAGAGTGGAAGTTTCATGGTGCATTATCTGCTTACAAGCAAATGATGGAAAAAAAGGAACAAACCAAGCAAACCACCTCGAACATATTTCGGAAAAGAGGGAGGCTTTTTTACCCTGGGAAAGGACAGCTCCGCGCACATTGTTGCCCCGGAAGACCCTCCAATGAGACCAGATGTGGAGCTGGAAGACGGTGATAAGGATCTGGACCCCGTGCAGATCTAGGCTGATGTGTGTGCTTGTGTCTTAGTTTTTAGCAACATTTAAAAAGTAAAAAGAAATTTTAAATGTTTAAAAATAGAAAACAGCTTATAGAATCAGGATGTAAAGAAAGAAAATATTTTTGTACAGCTGAACGTGTTTGTGTTTTAAGCTAAGTATCATTACAAAAGAGTCAAAAAATTAAAAAGATTTAAAAGTTTGTGGGGTAAAAATGTTATAAACCAATGTAAATTTATTACTGAAGAAAGAAGAATATTTTACTATAAATTTAGGGTAGCCCAAGAGGACGGTGTCTGTGAAGCCCACGGTAGTGTCCTGTGATGTCCTGGGCCTTCACATCCACTCGCCACCCACTTCCTGACTCACCCAGAGCAGCTCCCAGTCCTGCAGGCTCCATTCACGGGCAGAGCCCTATGCAGGCGCACCATTTAAAAAAATCTTTTATATTTTTACTGTATCTTTTCTGTCTTTAGATACACAAATACCACTGTGTTACCATTGCCTGCTTCCCAGTACATCAGCAGGCTACACAGGTTCGTACCCTGGGAACAGCAGGCTATACCACATAGCCTAGGTGTGTCGTGGGCTGCACCGTCTAGGTCGCACTCTGACATCTGCACAACAAAACGACCTAACGGTGCAGCTCTCAGAGCGCATCCCTGTTAAGCGACGCCTGCTTATACAACTGTTCTGAAGGCTCAGCAGGCCCAGCTCTGCTCTTGAGGCCCTCGGACAAGCTCCACGGGCGCACGGCTGTCTTGAGGCAGCTGCAGCCGTCTTCCGCAGGCAGAGTCGGCAGGCCGCTAGTCTGTGGAATGCTCCAGAAATGCTTGGACCCAGGAGGCCAAATGGTGCTGCTAGGGCACCACCTCTAAGGACACAGACTGCAGGGCTTGTCCGATTTTGCCATCGTGTTCCTGCAAGTGGGGAGGGGCTGGCTGATTATTTTTAGCCAGGTCACCTATTTTGAACACTATCAATTTCACCCATGGATTACATAATTTCTAACATTTACCTATTCACACATACTTATTCTAGCAGATATTATGCTAATTAACAAACCCTCTGGTGCTGAATAACAGATTGGTGTTTCAACTGTGGCCTCTTTCAAATGCTACCCAGCCACCCCTGCGCTGCGTGTTCCCCTTAGGCCACTCCCCTCTGGTTGGTGTAGATTAAAATTAACCAGCACACATGCATCTCACATTCTTTAAAACAGAAGCCTTGAAAGTAAATTACTTAAAAAATCTATGCCAGTTCACTCCTGCCAATGGGATGCGATCTGGTCACTCTCTGGGGGCCGGGACTTGAGGCCCCTCCCTGAGCAAGAGCCACCAACAAAAGGAGAGGAAGTTCCTCCCCACACCTGTGCCAACACAGAGGACGCGCCATCTGCGACTAGAGAACATGTCCCAGTCAGGGACATAGCCATACTCTGGTGAGTTCCAAATTTTGACTCATTTGTAACTAGAGAAGTTTCTAGAATGCCTATGGAGAAGTACATCTCCTGGCTGCCTGAAAACACATCCAGAGCCCACCCTTTCCCTTCCCGGAAGCAGCAGGCACATGTGAAGGGTGGCCCTGCCCCCAAGCCACCCGCCACTTGGCCTCATCCTGTGCGCTGACTCAGCCTGTCTTCCCTCCCTCCAGGGGTCGGGGACGGAGGCAATGAGCTTGGGATGGGCAAAGTCAAGGAGGCCGTGAAGAGCCACATACGAAATGGGGATGTCATCGCCTGTGACGTGGAGGCTGACTTTGCTGTCATCGCTGGTGAGTGCTCAGCGGGCTGGCCAGGAGGGCCTGGCTGCCCGGGCGCAGGGGCCTGCCTGCAGCCTGTCCAGCCAGAAGCCTGTTACCCAAAACGTACAAAGAACTCTAAAAATTCCACCATAAGAAAACAAGCAGCCCAATTAAAAAATGGGCAAAAGACCTGAAACAGACAGACACCCACCAAAGAAGATGTAGAGATGGCAAGTAAGCACCTGAAAAGATATCCAACATCCTCTGTCTCTGGTGTCCGCTCTCGATTAGCTGTCCAGCTGGGGCACCAGAAGAGGCAGAAGAAACCCTCAGGTTCCCCGTCTTTGCCTGCTGCTGGCAGATCCATTATCTGCCTCTTCCGGTCCCCTTTACCCTGGGGCCTCAGGTCGGAGGGGCAGGGAGCCTCCAGAGAATTTCTTGGGAAGTCGTCAGATTTCCTCAAGTTTATCTGCCACCTAGACTGTAGGTTCTTTGTATAATTGATCAACCCCCACAGGCTTGGCTGCTGCATCACTGATATGTGACTTCAGCAGCAGGTCGAGTGCCCTGAAGACAGGAGGTGACCCTACTGGACAGAGGGGACAGGGTTGTTCGGAATGAACGCTTTAGATGAAAACCCATGGGTTTGGGGCTGAGAGAGATGAACGGGGCCCCTCGAGGTAGGGTTGGGAGCTGCCGGGACCTGAAGGCAGAATTGTATCTGTTCCTTCAGCGCAGTGTCGACGAGAAAGATCCGGGGCTCAGGGATAGGTCAGGCAGGCAGATGGCAGCTCTTAGTTCCAAGCCTCACTACCCTCACCCCTCAGCGGCTCTCCGCCACTGTAAGTCCTGTGCTGGGCACCTGCAGAGATTTGCTGCTTTTGGGGGTGGGGGGCAATAGGCAGAGGGATCTCCCAGGAGAGTGAGTCAGGAGGCACGGCAGCCCTTCCCGACTCCATCCTCCGCTCCTGGCCCCAGGGATGGAGGCAGACGCGGGACAGGTCAGCAGCTTGTGAGGCCCAGAGGCAGTCAGGCCTGACACGGGCCCTCGGTGCCCTGGCCCTAATGGCGTGCTGTCCTGTCCTGTGTGGGGCTGCGTCTCAGGCCAGCGTCGGGATGAAAGTGCGCAGTGGGACCCAGACCACGTGGGACCTCCAACAGCAGGTCCCTCTCCTGGCCTTGGGGCTCCTCAGCCTCCTGTCCCCGATCCCTTCTTTGTACCCCATGACCCAGCCGCGCATGGCTGTTTTTGCTCAAATACAGCGTGGGTTGAATGTTTTCAATTGGAAAGACGCTATAACAACAATGCTATAGATATTTTCAAAAGCTACATAGTGGCAAGTGATGGAAGGGAATGAAAACCTCACCGTAACGCCATCAGCGTTTTTCGTTCTGCGTGTCAGCTTCTAGTTCTCATCCTCAGTACATACCCACTTTATGTCATTTCCACCTGGTAGACCTGCATTTCCAACACTTCTCTTTCTGTTTCATGTTACTTCCCAACCATGTTTTTACTCTCCACTCTTGCGTGGAGGTTGAGTATGGGCTCAGGGGTTGCACAACAATGTGGATATGCTTAACGCTCCCGAGCTGGACACGTGAAAATGTTTAAGATGGTCCGTTCTATGTTACGTGGGGTTGTTTTTTCTTTTTTAATACAATTAACAATTTTAAAATTTTTTTAAAAAAGAATATGGGCCCTGGAGGCAGCAGCTTGAGTTCACATCACAGGCCCATCACGTGGGAGCTGTGTGACCTTAGGCAAGTGACTTAACCCCTCTGTGTCTCCTCCAGCTTTGTAAGTGAAGGTAATAACAATACCTACGCCTCACAGGCTTATCATGAGGACTCCAAGAGCTAAGTGAGGCATTAGAACAGTGCCACGCATTGCAAGTATTCATTCAAAGCAAGACACTATCTCCCATTGACTATGAGAGGCCATCGATGACTGAATTACCACTATGTTACGTGCCACTAACAAAGGGAAACACTGCCATTTACAAACACAAGACAGTGTTGACTGCAAGAGGCATGTCCATTTCAGAGACGACAATGTCAAAAAAGTCCATCTTAGAATCAGTGGAATATGGTATTATCATCACGTGATCTTCACCCGACATATTCTGATATATGCCTTGTATTGTCATACCACGTGCCTTTGTAGTCAGGGGATATTTGGATTTTTCCTACCTTCACCTTTCCTCTGGCAAATTCTACCCAGCCTACAAAATGATATTAAATGACCCTTTTCTGGGAATCTTCTCTAAATCAGTCAGAATGAGAGCCCCTTCTCAGTGCTCCCAGAACCCTTTGTGAACGTCTCGTTCATGGATTGCGCCACTGTAGCATTGGCTGTGCTCGCAGTCCCTCTCTGCCCTGATTGGAAGGTCTTCTTTCTATTTTGATCCTCTTGCACGTAGCACTTAGCAGGTCCTTAATCAATCCTTCACCCACATGGAGAACTAACTCAAGCAGGTTTCAGAGAAACGCCAGTGAGGTAGCCCCCAAAATGGGAACTGGCTGCTCAAGGAGGAAGTGAGGCTGACTCGGGAGTCATCTGCAACCACAGAAAGAGGTGCTGCAGCCCAGCGTGGTGGAGCTGGCGCCTGCCGCTCTGAGGACAGGCTTCCGCACTGCCCGAGGTCCCGGGGTAGCCATAATGCAAGGGAGGGTTCTGGAACGGCTCCTCCTGCTCATAGCCCGAATCTTTTCTCTGACGGTCGTTAACAGTACGTAACCGGGATGGTTTAGAGCAATGCTTCTCAAACGTGAACTGGAATCAGAATCACGTGGAAGGCTTAGTGAAACTCGGGCTGCTCCCTGCTCCCCCACAGAGGTTCTGATTCTGTAGATCTAGGCTACAGCCCAAGAATTTGTGTTCCCAGTAAGTTCCAGGGACTGCTGGTGCCACTGGTACCGTTGGGCCCATTCTTGAGATGAGCTCTGAAGCGTAGAGGCAGGGTGACGGTGCACCGCGTGGCCTCTCCTGTTCTATGTTGAAACCTTTTCTCGTCCTAGGTGTTTCTAACTGGGGAGGCTATGCCTTGGCCTGTGCTCTGTACATCCTGAACTCCTGTGAGGTCCATGCGCGCTCCCTGAGGAAGGCAGCCGGGCCCTCCAGAGCAGCTGGTGAAGAGAGCTGGACTCAGGCGCTCCCATCCATCAGCAAGGTAACAGCCCCCACCAGCCACTCTGTGGAAGCCCCTTCTCCCCGGCTGAGGAGCAGGCCTGGCGCTCTGAGCCATGAGCCAGCAGCCGGCACCGCTGCTGCCCGTCAACCGCCAGGGGCAGAGGCAACCTACAGGCAAAGGTGTCCCAGCAGCACTGCATGGGGTGACCTCTGACCTGCTCACGATCCTAAATTATTATGGCAGACCTGACCCCAGTGGCCATTTTCCTTCTAGTTTGACTTCAGGCAAGTTGCTTAACCTCTGAGCCTCATTTCCTTTGTCCGTACGATGGGGGCGGGCAGAATTTTTGGAAGAATGGGATATACAGGCAGACCTCAGAGGTATTGCGGGTTCAGTTCAGACCACCGCCCTAAAGCAGGCGTCACAGTAAAGTGAGTCGTGATCTTTTTCCTGGAGAGTCTTGCTTTCCGTTCGTAAACAAACGCAACATCTCTGAAGCGCAATACGGCGACGCGCAATAAAACGAGGCGTGCCTGTAGCTTACCGTCCCCTACCGAGGTTTACCATCCAGCCAAGGCACTGAAGCCTCAGGTGGGATGGGACAATTAGCCATCCAACAATGTGCCAAGGAAGAGGGGACTGCGGTGAGGAGAGGACCCTGGGGGCTGGAGGCTGGAGGGAACGAACCCCGAAGCAGGGGAGGCCCTCTGGGAAGGAGGCGAGGTGGGAACAGGAAGCTGCGGGAGGAGGACAAGCCCAGTGCTGGAGTGGGGGGCGGGGGGTCCTGGAGTAGAGGGGGCTTCTGAGCCCAGGATCCGCAAAGTGGGGCCCAGGAGTTCTTTGAAACACTTTGTGAGGTTGCTCCATACGTGGATCTTTCTGGGCAAGGATGTGTGGTTTCATCGGATTCTCCAAGTAGCGTGGGGTCCTTAAGAGCCCCTAGGCAGACAGAGGTCATGTTCACTGGATATTTGAAAACCGTGGCTCCCTCACGGAGGGTCCCACTGAGAAGTGACAGGGAGGACACGAGGGCTTCGAGCGAGGAAACGGGCCCCGCCGGGTGGCTTTTGCATGGGCTCGTCTGACTGCAGAGCTGAGGTCGCCTACGGGGCTGTGAGCAGCCAGGACGTTCCGCAGTGGACCAGCACAGGTAGGGGTGGGGGGCAGGCATCACACACATGCGGGCGAACGTTTAAATTCTGTGACCTCACTCAGGCAGCGGGGAAAACGCAGCAGAGGAAAGGCCAGTCCTGTCCATGGGGCCCGCGATTCTGACCCGGCCCCACAGCCTGAGCCGGAGGGAGACTCTGCCCCTTCCTTGGCTCCGCTCCCAGGCTCCCCTGGAGCGGCCCGCCCCGGACCCCGACTCCGATTCCAGACCCAACCCACCTCCCCCGGTGCGTCAGGCACAGCGGGGACACCCACCTGGGAGAGAAGCTGGCCGTGCCTCCGTCTCCACAGGGCACCTTCGGTGGGAATTTTCCAGAGTAATTGGGATCACGGGAAAATGGGGCCAAAGCCCTGAGTTTAAACCTAAATCCCTGGTCAGAAGTAATGTCACCTGTGAGCTGACAGGAGGTTTCACCTGAGGGCCGGCAGGAGGCGAGGGGGAGGGCCGGCCGGGGCCGGGGGGAGGGCCAGCGGAGGGGCGGGCCAGACAGGCCTTGAGAGACAGTGGAGGGAGCTGGGGTGTCTGCCCTGGAGAAGACTGGGGGGTCACACACCCAAATGGCTTCCTGGAGGAGGGGGCAGGTGGAAAGCAGGCCAAAAGGCAGAGGTTATAAGAGCAGATTCCAGTTCAACGTACAAAGGGCTTGTCCACTCCGCAAGGAGGGGGCTCTCTGACCCAGGGCCCCAGTTGGGGTTGGGGGAGAGGGGAGAGGGTTCCTGTGCCAGGTCAGGCTGCGCCCCCACCCAAGGCCTTTCTCAGCCCGTCAAAAACAGTCTCATGCCACTCACAGCTTCGTTTTCCTGGTCTTGTCCCCCCAAAGCATAGGTTACTAAATGTTTTTTTAAAAAATATCTCAAGCCTTCTATAAGTGAGGAACCAGGTTCCTTGTATCTGCTTTCCCAGCAACCAGTGGAGGGAAACACAGAGCCAGGGGACCCTTGTTGGCCGGGTGGACGGGTGGGCAAGTGAATGAATGGAAGCAGCCCTTCATTAGAGCAGAGGTTATCGAACTTTAGAGGCATCAGAGTCACCCCGCAGTATCTTGAACCGCAGAGTGGGGCGCCCACCCCTGAGCTTCCGACTCAGGAGGTCTGAGGTGGGCTGGCGGGTCTGAGTCTCTAACAAGATTCCTGGTAACGTTGCTGCTGCTGCTGCTGCTGCTGCTGCTGCTGCTGCTGGGACCACTGTTTGAGGCTCTGGGAGAGAAGAGGGTTGGTTTCCAGTGTCCTGGACATGGGTTGGTCTGAGGGAGACAATCTGAGAGGCAGGTGGTTCCTGAGCACTGAGCCTGGAAGCCGCGGCTGAGAAGGTGTGGGCGTCTGGAGCCTTCGCGTCCTCTTCTCTCTCTCTCTCTCTTTCTCTCTCTCTCTTTTTTCACATTGTCTTGTACCCTTTCCGATTCCTTTTTCCTTCTGTCTGTCTCTCCTCTGCCTCTCCCTCCCACCTCAATCCCCCAGCCCCGTCTCTCTCCAATGCCAACGCCTGGATTGGCCGTGACTCTTACAAATGAGCCAGCAGAGGCCCCAGAGGGGCGGTGACTTGCCCACAATGCCCACCTAAGAGGACGAGCAGAGGTCTGGGTCCCGGGGTCTCTAACTCCATACTCTCTGGGCTCTTCCCAACATGGCCCGGCAGGTTCCCAGCTCCTGGTGATGCCAGGCTGCCGTGCGGGAGGGGAGGGAGATGCGGGGCTCCGCGGCAGAAGGGACATTTTCTGGGGAAATGGTCTGACCTAGAGGGACCCAGGGGGCCCTCTGAGCTTCCTTTGCACTTCCTGCATCTGAAGTGGAAAAAAAAAACACCCATCCAGGGTGCTGCCTCACACATGATTTCTGATTCACGCAGACGTAAAAGCACGAACCCAGACAAGCACATTCACACAGCACAAACTCTTAACCCTGGGGATGGAAAATTCTCCTTTCGAGGTTCCACCCTGTCCTTCATAAATGTATTAATTATGTCCCACTCTTGTAAGGAAAATAAAAAGGAACACTTTCAAAGCAAAAGTACAGACATATGTTTGTTGAGCCCTCCTGAGTCAGGCCTGGGCTTGCCCTGGGAGACAGTGGGAGTCAGGCCTGGCCTCCGGGCAGGGAGCCGAGGGTTCACAGGGGGAACAGCACATGGAAGGTAACTTCAGGAGCCAGGGTGGGAGTGGGCACAGCAAGTTTCTGGGAGGACACAGAGAATGGGCAGTTGACTCATTCAGAGAGCTCACGGATGGCTGCCTGGAGGAGGTGGTACTAGGCTAGGTCTTAGAGGATGCGCAGGGTATAAGTAGCCAGGTGAGGTGGGCGGGAAGGGCTTTCCAGGCAGCGGGAAGGTGCAGGGACATGCGGTGAGGTGGTGTTCAGGAGGATAACGAGGATGGTCACACTGGAGTCAGCGGGCCACTCGGCAGGGTCTCTGAGTTACAGGAGACGCAGGGCAGAGCAGTGGCCTGAAACGGTGGTGAAGCCTGATAGGTTTGGAGCAGAGGAATGTCCCTCAGTTCTGCTTCATGTGTTGGGCCTCCTATATGTAGGGGTGGTTCGTAGGGGTCTGATCACAGCCCGAACAGGAGGGGGCGCCAGGCCGAGGAGCCCAGGGAGCCCTGCCCCGCCCACTTGGGCTGCGGGTCGTGCGCTGCGGGGCGGTACCTGAGGCAGGACAAATGGCTGGAGCGCATTCCCCAGACCTTCTCAGGGACCAGGTGCCGACTGATGACACTTTACAGGAAGGACTAAGGATGGAAGGAAGGGAGGAAGGATGGAGGGACTGCTGGCTGGCTGGCTGGCTGGCTGGCTGGCTGGAGGGTCGGATGAACAGGTGCCGGGGGAGGGGACAATGGGTGGATGGATGATGCGGAGAGACAGGGACATGGCCTCTGGGTTCATCCTGAGCCCCCATTCTCTCCCAGCCCTCCGCTTAACGTGGGCATACACGCCAGAAACCATCACGGGACAGTGCAGCCGTCTCTGAGATCACATACAGAACAGTTCCAGCTTCCCAGGAGGCCCGTTCTCCCAGTCCACTTTGTTTTTTGCTTTTTTTTTATCCTCACCCGAGGACATTTTTTCATTGAGTTTAGAGAGAGAGGACGAGAGAGAGAGACATAGAGAGAGAGAGAGACATCGATGTGAAAGAGACACATCGATCAGTTGCTTTCTGCTCTGTGCCCTGACCAGGAATTGACCCCATGACCTTTCAGTCTATGGGATGGTGCTCGAACCAACTGAGCCACACAAGCCAGGGCCACTCCACTTTAAACAGCAACGTCACCTGATCATGACTATCAGCCCACTGTACTCCCAGTGGGAATCCATAGTGACCGGCCACACATTCAACCACAAGTCACCTGGGACCTCTTTCCCCATCTACAGCGAACAAGGCCCCAAACCTGTCCTCTCTGCCTCCCTTCTGTCCTCTGTACCCCCTCCCCTGCACCCCTGCCTCAGCCTGACCTGGTGTAGCGGCCTCCAGGTGCTCTGCCTCCGGCCCACACCCTCCTCCTGGGAGGCGGGGACTCCTGGGAAACTTGCAGGCAGTCACTGTTGACCCAGCCGGTCCCCAGGGCTCTCAGAGGCTGAGTGCCAGCCGGTTCCTGCTGACTGATTACATGCACCCTGAGGACCACCAGGCCCTCCCGGTGGCCCAAAGGCCGCGGTGGTGGGGGCAGGCGGTGTGCTGGGAGGAGAGGGCTGGCGGTTCCAGAAGCGTCCCCCATAAAGGGGGGATGTGAGCCAGCGCAGAAGAGGGGCGGGAGTGAAGCCCAAACAAAGGGCGGAAAGTGCCATTCTGGGCTGGGGGGCCCCTGGGGGGGCCGTGGGACAAACGGCCCTCTGGAAGTGCTCCTGGGACTCCCTTCCACCTTGGCTCCCAGGGCCGAGCGGAAGTGCAGGCTCCCCAGCCAGCTGGGAGCAGAGGCGCTGCCCAGTGACATTTGCCAAGGCTTTCTCCATTGTTCTGAAAAGTTCCCAGCGTGGAGCGCTCCTCATCGCCCCCTGTTGGCCTCATGTCTGCTCTTCTGTCGGGTGTGGTCCTGGCTGCCCCCATGCCTGAAGAGCCTCCCCTGAGTCACTCCGGTGGAGGCGGCTGGGTGCCCCGCTCGGTGCTGAGGTCCCCAGACTGTGGCCCGCCTGAGCTCTCATCGGACTGTGAACACCTGGAGGCAGGGGCCGCCTCCGCCACCACTGTATCCATGGCACCTAGCAGGTGCTCAGTGCAACTCCGGTGGATGACTGAATGAATCCAGAATGCCCGCGCAGGGAGGCGGGAGGCCTTCTCGGATCTGTCACAGCTTCCTGTTCCCCATTCCTTCGTCCCCCGTGCTCACGCCCTCCTTACTTTGGTGGAGGAGGAAGACGGGGGCGGGGGCGGGGGGGCGATGCGTTTCACTTCTTCTCCACGGGCACTATCCTTGCTCTGTTTCTCTTTATGTAAGACCCACCTTCTTCCGGGGGACCGGAGCCACTCAGCTGGGACAGGCACATTAGTGGCTTAGGCAAGTGGAGGGAAAGAGAAGGGGAATCTCATCACTCAAGAAAGCCCTGGGCTGCAGGCCAGGGACCCGGCCCCACCAGGAATGACCCGCCTCACTCCGGGAGCACCCGCTGTGTGCCCAGGGCCACGCGAGGCGCTTTGCTTGCATTATCTCACTTAACCCTCACGGCAGCCCTCCAGAGGTGGCATTACTGTTATTATCACCGACCTCCCGATCATACAGATGAGGACACTGAGGCCCAGAGAGTAAAACACCTGCCAGGAAAGGCCCACGTCAGGGCTGTCTGATCCCAAACCACTCCGCCTGCTGGGCCCTGGGAAGGGGAAGTCAACTGCACGTGGCACACGCCCCCCACCCCCTGCCCCGGCGGCTAACAGCGGGCTCGCGGGACGAATGGGGGCCTTCCGGGCACAAAGGCCAGGGGCAGGCCACTGGAGCTGGGCAGGGCCAGGGTGGCCGGAAGTAGCCCGTGCTGCACCCGCAGAAGGAGGGCATCTTTAGTGTGTTCGTTAGGAAAGTGCAGGTTTCCGTAAACGCTTATTATCTGGTTACAGGATGGTAACTAGCAGAAGAAACAGCCCGAACTATTCAAAGGGGCCCCTCTGGAGAGTGGGTTCCGGGCCCGACGAAGAGCGAGAGAGGGCACCGTCGATTTTCACATGAGTCTTTTTCAACCAAAAGCCATTGTTCATTTTTAACCAAAATTAACATTTTTAACCAAAATTTTATTGTTCAAAAAGAGGCCGTGTCAAGTCCAATGCTCTTATTCCACTTAGGTGTATGTACGTCTTTTTTAATCTTTCCCTCCCCCTTTGCTACTTCTACCTCTGCCTCCTTTTGTTACAGGAAGAAACAATGTTGGGCATCTTGGTGCGGCACAAAATCCGGAGTGGTGTCTCGGGCAACGTGGGCATGGAGGTGGACGGGCTGCCCTTCCACGACACCCACGCCCAGATGATCCAGAAGCTGTTGGACGTCACCACGGTGCGCCTGTGACCCTACGCGTTACGCGCCTGGGGCCTCATCTGGATCTGAGGAGGAGCCCCTGAGGGCGCCGCTCCTTCCTGCAGCAGCTGTGCACACGGACCTGGGCCTGGGGTGCGCCGGGCTGGGCGCCTCCCACCTGCTGCCTGGGAGGGCGGTGCGGGTGGACCGAGGACCTGTCCCTCCGGGGCTTCCAGGTTTTGCCTTTGTTTGTACGGTGCCAGTGGCATTGGTTTCAACCCTCCTTCACCCCGGTTTCTTCAGGCCGCCCTCAGGGTCTGCTTGGAGGGTCTCCTGACCCATCCCTCACGGGGACACCGGTGAGCAGTGGGGAAGCAGGCAGACAGCGCCGTAGGTCACCGGGCCGGAAACAGCCCCCAGGCTGATGATGAAATAGTAAAATGCACACACGTGTGGGTTATATTTATGAAACTCCAGGGCTTTTAAAGGTTTACTCAGCCCATGACCAATAAAATACTTAGACCTTTGAAATGTTCTCTTTCCAACAGCGTTTTGTTTACGTAGGCCAAAGATCCCTCAACCTTGTGTTTATCACCAGCGCCTCCTGCCTCCCCTCGCCTCCCTTTACCCCCTCTTCCTGAGCCCCCACCCCGGAGCCTGACGCTTCCTCCCTGTCCTCCTCACCCGCTCATGCCCAGCCTGGGGCCTGGGGCTGGGTCAGGACTGTGTAGGGCTTAGGTCACTCACAGAGGCCTCCTGGACAGCCCCCGCCAGCCTGTCCTGGCCACCTCCTTCACCACCTCCCACTGCACGTTTCCTGACAGAGCCCTCGGAGAGGGAGTCGCTGACCGCATCCCATCCCCCGCACATGCGGGGCCCGCCCACTATTATCTTGCGCTGGCTCATCCAGCGGTGGCCCTGCTCCCCAGTGAGGGCCCTGCATGCTTCATCAGCACGCTTAGTTTTATTTTCTCAAACACATCTCATTCGATTCTCTAAGGGACGTTCGTGGCAAGGTGTGGAGCACATGCTATAGGAGTGAGTGCCGCGGTGAAGCCCGAGTGTCGAGTGAAGCGGCCTGGGCCACCTCCACGGCCCCCTGCAGAGGCAGGGGCCCCTGGCCAGATGTGGCTGGGGCGGGATTGCCCAGATCGCCCTCTCTCATGCCCCTGGGGTGTCCCCGCCTGCAGTTGGGGCTCCGCTGCTGTGGCCGTGGGGCCAGCGCGCCCCTTGCCACGAGCTCTCAGTCCCTCCACCTGCAGCGGAGCACAGCTCCCCCAACTGCCTGCGCCCTAGGCCACCCGGCCAGGCCTCCTCCAGCCACACTTGTTGTCCTGAGCTGAGACTGCTGGGCCCCACGCGATGGGGGCCTCTGATTGAGAGTGTCCCCGGCATTTCTGAATTCTCGATGGCGAGACGAGAAGAAAACATCACTCTGGTAAAGCTTCCAGTGCTCGTCTGACTCATATTCCGGGGAAACACATTAACGTGACTTTGGTTTCGCAATAGTAACAGCAGAATTCTGTTCCAGCGGGGATGTCTGAGGCGTGCCCATGTAATAGGTTATCTTTGCTAGGGAGACGGTTAAGTTGTTTGGGGAAAAAGGCTGAGAACCGGGCGGAGCCCAGAGAGACTTGAGAGTGGGGGTCCCAGCCCCGGAGTGAGGTGTCTAAGGCCCCTCCGCAGGGAGGGGCGGGCCCGTGGCCCTGCGGCGGCGGCTAAGGTGTCAGGGAAGGCCAGGAGGAGACGCCTTGGCAGGGTCTAGCCGAGGGGCCACTGGAGCTCTGAGCCCTAGGGCCCAGCTTCCATGCTTGTCCACAGTATGATTCCCGCTCGGGCTTTCAGTAAAGTTTTGTTCAGGTTTGTCCTGGTCTTGCCTATGCTTCAGGGAAGGGACTATGTCCACATGTGGAGTGGCGTGGCTGCAACCTGAAGCTGGTTACAGGGGGCAAGAAGGGATCTTGTCCTTGGGGGGTGGGATTGGAGGCGGGCTGGGCATCTGCTGGGATAGACTCGGGCATGTGAGTGTGCCCAGGCATTTCCAGGAATGTGGGGGATCCAGGTAAACAGTTCCCCGGGGAGCTCCATGGGTGCTCAAGGGCAGCTAGAGACTGTGGGCACGTCAAGGTGCGCATGCCCCGCAGACCCCACAGGTGGGACGCGAAGGCGAGCAAACCAGTTAAGGGGGTGGGGGCTCCTTGGCCCCTGGCTGTCCCCTGGCCACGTGCCACCCCGTCTCTCGGAGGACCGGCCAGGTGTCCTTCCTGGGTTGCTCCCTGCCTCTCATGGCGCAGGCCTTGCCGACCGCCAGCCCCACCGCAGCCCAGCCCACAGCGTTCAACTGCTTTTCACCCATTCCATGTGGGTCCCACCGGCCCCACAGGGAGGTCACACTCTGAGATTCAAAAGACTACCAGTCGAGGCAGGATGGGGAAGATGGGGCTTAAACGCAGTTCACGTAAACGTAATCTGCGTCAGCGATGCGGCGTGCTGGCCAGGGAAGCCAGTGCATTGCCAGAAGCATGGTGCGGGGAACAAACGGTCCCCTCCTCTTTGCTGCAGGTCCGGCAGGCTTGGTCTCACCTCAGACCCAAGCATCCCACTGGAGGAAGCGGGTTTTGTTCAGATGAGGTACGGGAAGGTGAGCGCCTAAAGCCTGATAAGCGGAGGTGGCTCGAAGAGCTGCCTGGCAGAGACTCCTTGGGCGCTCACCAATCCGGCTTCCTTTTCCTGCGCATCTAGGAAGACTACATTTCCCAGCCTCCTTTGCAGTTAGGTTGGGGGCGCATGACTGGGATCTGGCCCATGGGATGCGAGTAACAGAAATATCAACCACTTCCAAACTTGACCCCTTGTGAGATTCTCTTTGTGCAGCTTCCCGTCCCTGTGTGCCTGTGTGGATGGAAGGGAAGACCCCAAGACCATGGAACCTCTTGATAAAAGGATCCTGAATCACTGCCATCGCTTGGGGAGGAGACTTCTCAGAAAGCAGCTGCTTATTGGGCTTGGCATGAACAGGAGACACACTTCTGTTTTAAGGCGCTGTGGCTCGGCAGGTATTTACTGTCGTATGATCCAGCCTGGCCTCGTGCAAGCTTGGGAGGCGTGATGCTGATCAGAGAGCTGTAGGATGTGAGAGCTGTCATCAAACACCAGGACCTTATAGGGCCCCGTGGCTCCAGAGGCCGGAACTAAGACCGGTGGGAAAAGTGGTTCCACTTCGGCTTGTTGGGAGTTGAGCTTTTCTTCCCATCCTGGGTGGTAGCAGATTAGTATCATGGGTGGTACTTGCTGAAAATTTGATCCATCGTTATGGGGGACACACAGGGAATATTTCATCGGCTCTCATGACCTTCGCAGTTCACCCCAGCACTGACACTTAATGTCTAATCTCATAGCGCTCTTCTGATAGCTGTTGAATTAAAGTGAATCAAATCTCTCCATTTCCCAGAGCACCGGGCACCACCGTGACCCCGGGGCAGTTGTCATCAAAGACCGTCGTCTTGCCAGATGAGTTCCTGGAGACGGCGCGACCCCCAGCTGCAAGTAGCAGTTCTTATCTGAAAAGCATTGGCCCAAGAGGGCCAGATGCTGGCTCTCCCGCGCTGCGCCGGTCAGAGGAAAGCAGCAGGTGGGGACGTGTTCTGGGCTGCAGATTCCTCCCACTCTTGTCTGGCCAGCCCACAGACCACAGGGTATAAACAGGAAGATGAGCCTCCTCTTGCTAAGCAACACCAGCGAGTAAAACAGGAATGTAATGGCTTCTGCCACCTCCTGTCCCTACCAGATGGACCCTCTCCTCCCTCCATTCTCTCAGGACAGAAGAGCCTCAAACCCCAGCAATGTATGTCCTCAGTCTGTTTGGAAGAAGGACAAACTCCTCCAAAACACTTCAGGACTCCGGAAATCTGACCCAGAGAGGGATTAAGTGACTAAACCCAAATTTACATTTTAATAAGATGCAGTTAATCTGCAGGCATAAACACGGAGCCGGCCACTATGGAGAAGATGCTCCAGCCTGGTCAACAGATGTGGACCTCCCCAAACCGAAGCCAGGCAGTGAGGGCGGCCCCGGGAGGTAACCGCGGCAGGCCTTCCTGCTTCGCCAATCTTCCCAGGGAGGGAGGGACCGTCTGATCAAGCTCCCCCTCGCTGTGGGCAGCAGCTCTCGGGGGCGTAGAAGCGATCATGTGACTAAGGACAGAGGAGCAATATTCTCCAAACCGCAGGGCTGGGCTCTGTCCGTAAAGGGGAGACGACGTCTACGTTATGTCCCAGAGTTACGTGCTGAAGCCACTTTATGAATCGCAGGAGGACGGGAGGACCTACTTCACTTGGGCTCCATCCTTTTTGGGCACTACTGGGTGACCACGGGCAAATTCCCTAATCGCTCTGCTTGAGTTTTCTGTGAGAAGTCCATCCCTCTGCCTTCCTGACTCTGTTGGGTGTTTCAAGGACCCACTAGGTACCCTAGTGTTAGAAGACCCTCCTTCCCCATAAGGACTGCACAGCACACTCCAGCTGCAGCTGGTTACATTGTTTAATTTGCAGACTCATTGGCTACATAAATCCATGGCGCAGTCCAACACACGCGCCTCTACAAGGACAATAAGAAAGTACAACTCCTGAGAGTCAGCGGAGCCGCCCTCAGCCCCTCCCGTCCTCCCCAGGGGGGACACAGGTGTTTACGGTCAAACTGGGGAGGCATCTGGAGGGAGGAGGCATGGAGCGCTGGACCCCGGCTGCCCGCCAGGAAAAGCCTCAGCTGGGCGGGGCGCGGCTTTTCTGGGTCGTGTGGCCATTTCAGCCACCTTCAGACCTGGTCACGTCCTCCTCCAGGAAGTGGGAGAAAGCCTCCTCAGGTCATGGAAGACCCTCCATAAGGAGCTGGGGCCAGTGCTGCCCAGTCAAAGCCAGTGTGGCCCCGGCACCCCCTTCCCGGGGGCCACCCAGCCTGGGCTCTCTGCGTCAGGCACCCCGACGGATGGGGGACGGGGGCAGGGGGCAGGAAGGGGAAGGAAGATTGAAAACGTTCTCTTGGCCCTCCCTTTAGCAGAGGCCAGATTGTTTTACCGGTGCCAGCTTCTCTCTTCCCATCCTGGTCCCGCCCCAGACTCAAGCCCACCTGTCCCCTTGTCTGTGAGGAACACAGATTCCGGGGAAGTGGGAGCTGGCCCAGCCCGTCAGCCAGGACACGTGGGGGGCTAGCATTTGTGTGAAGCTGGGCAGGTCCCCGAGCAGCAATAAGCTCCTCTGGTCCTCAGTATGTTCGCCACAGCAGGGGCTCAACATGGCACCAAGTTGCGGGAGAGCCGAGCCGGGACCCAGCCTTCCAGGACAGCACAAAAGATGGCAGTCGATACCCTGAGCTCCATGTGGCCCCCCGGCCGCTATGGCTGCCCAGGGGGGTGCGGCGGGGTATCTGGCAGAGGAGCCTGCGGGAGACCAAGGAGGCCGGGCGAGCCCAGGGCCCCTCCTCTCAGTTACAGTGGCTCTTTAAACCCCAGGGGGGCGCTGCGCTGAGAGCAGCCCGAGAACCAAGAACTGTCTCTGCTTTCTGTGTTTTGTGGCATCTGAGAGCTCAGGGAGAATGTCGCGCCGCGGAGACTGTCGTGCTCCTCTCTGTGGGTATGGCAGGGGGTGGAGGCAGAGGCCAGTTTTGGGGGAGGGGTGCTGCCAGTAGTGCCATGACCCTGGTCTCAGTGTCTTGGCACACAGCTGTCCTGGAGACCCTGACATTTTAAACACACACACACACACACGCACACACTCCCAGGCTGCGGGGTCTGGTACTCCCGGGCAGGTGGGGACAGACGCCAATCGGGAGGGATCCGTGAGGAACTCGACTCAGCGCACCGGCTTCAGGCTTCTGTCCTGACGCTGGTGCTTTTGAGCTAACTTTTTAAAGGGTCACGGACAGCGTCCCGGGGAGCCCCGGGGAGCCCTGAGGTTGGTTTTCTACCAGCCCTGGAGCCTGGGAATTTGCTTGGCCCTCCCTGTGACATTGTGAACCGGGGTCCCCTCTGCCCCACCTGCTCCCCCCCGCCGCCCGCACACCACCAGTGCCCCAGAGGCTTCCCCACGCCCCTTCCCCCATCCAGCCTCCTGGCCCCACGCATCTCCCTTCCTGTCCCTTCCTGAGGTGGGGCTCAACTGTTGATGATGACAACACGGCTTCGGTCATCTCCTCAGATAGTGCCGGTACATCACCAGTCCATTTGGACAGGTGTCAGCAGTGACAACAAGGGCCCGGGGGGCCCGGGCAGGTGCACACCCATCTCCCCCCATCTCCCAACGCCCCCTCTCTGTGTCCTCGCGCTCTGCACCCCCCACCCCAGCTTTTCTTGGCAAGGCTCCTGGAGGTGACAGTCTGCCGTCTTCCTCCCGCCAGCAGCTCAGCCTGCAGCGGGATCCGCAGGAGCTGCGGGAGCCCACCGGGTGCACCGCAATGGGCTCCGCAAGCCTCAGCATCCCCTGGAACCAGAGGGGCCTTGCCGCAGCCCAGGCCCGGGGCTCAGCGGCCCTGGCCCGTCGTCCCCTCCAGCAGAGGGCGGTGGCGGCCAGCCAGCAAGCTCAGGCCTCACTCACCCCACATGCGGGGGACTCTGGCTAGGCCAGCCCGGCCGCGGGGGACCCCGCCCCTCCAAGGGAGCTAGGGCTCTGGAGGGTCGAGTGGAGCTTCCGCAACAACTCCGGCTCCTCGCTTTTCCCCGTGGAGGCCTCGGGGGCGCCCAGAGGGGAGGCCTCCCGGGGCCCGCGGGTCCTGGAGCAGGGGAGGAGGGCCCTGCAGGCCCCGCAGAGGCGGGCCAGGTCCCGGTGGGTGGTCTCACTGACGAAGCAGTACAGCACGGGGTCAGCCACGCAGTTGAAGCTGGTGAGGAGCAGGGAGAAGTGGTAGGCGTTGAAGACGCCCCTGGCGAACTGGCAGCTGGACTCCCAAAGGCTGCGCACGAGCAGCAGCACGTGGTAGGGCAGGAAGCAGGCCAGGAAGATGACCATGGTGCTGAGCACCAGCCGCTGGATCTGGTCCTTGCGGCTCTTCTGGGTGCCGTGGCTGCGGTGCACGGCCCGCAGGATGCCCCGGTAGGCGGCCAGCAGCAGGCAGAGGGGGAAGAGGAAGCCGACCAGGAAGCGGTAGTAGTTGATGCCGCGTTGCCACGGCTCCAGCGGGTAGTGCTCGAAGCAGACGCGGTGCTGGTTCCCGTCCTCCACCACCTCCTTGTGCATGAGGAAGTAGATGCTGGCCAGCAGCTCCTTGGCCCAGATGACCACGCTGACGCCGACGGCCGCCTTCAGGGTGCGGACCTTGTGGAAGCGGAAGGGGTGGGCCACGGCCAGGTAGCGGTCGATGGAGATGCAGCAGAGGAAGCCCACGCTGATGTAGATGTTCTCGTAGAGGAGGATGCCGCACACCTGGCAGGACAGGTCGCCGTACAGCCAGTTGTCGTGCTGCAGCACGTACTGCAGCCAGAAGGGCAGCGAGCAGATGTAGAGGAGGTCAGCCACCGTCAGGTTGCACAGGTACACGCCCAGCTCGTTCCGGGCCTTGATCTGCAGGTAGCCGAAGTAGAGAGACAGGCAGTTGGCGGGGAAGCCCACCACCAGCACTGTGACGTAGACCACCGGGGCCAGTGTCTGGTGGATGGTGTGGTCGATGGTGCAGTTCATCGAGGAGTTGTGTGCTGTGATGTTCCCCATCTTCGGGCCGGAAGGGGCCTCACCGCTCATGGGGCCTGTCTCTCTGCTGCCATGTTGTTCACAGGATGTGGTTCAGGCTGTGTCAGAGGCCGGGCCTCATCGTGGTCAGTGAGCCTGTGACAATCGAAGGTGGGAAAGGCTTAGAATTGCAGAAGCGAACTCTTCTAAAGCACCGACGCTGGGTCAGGCACCACTCTACGGGCCTCGCTTAATTTAGAGGATGGCCCAGCCAGTCAGCTCCAACTCGACTAGGACCTCGGAAGACGGCTTATGTCTCTCCATTGTCCTCCCCTGGCTTCCTGCCCCTTGTGTATCTCCCTGGTCTTATGAGCACAGCCCATCCTAAGCCCAGCTCTCCAAGGAAAGCTGAAGGTAAAGGTCGATTCCAACCTACTGTACATGCAGCAGGGAGGGCTCAGCCACTGTCTTCTATGGCAATTAAGTGCCATTCACATTGTTCCCGGTTGCTCACAAGAACGTACCAGGTCACACCAAGGCCACAGTCCCTGCTGGGGGCCTCTCCACCCAGCACAGAAGAAGCCCAGACTTGCCCACATCCCCTAGTGCTCTGGCAGGAGACGAGGGCCGAGCTTCCCTCGGGCACGGCCTGGACTCCTGGGTCTTTGTCGGCAGCTGCTAACCCTCCTCTCTTCCATGGAGCTCAGGGGCTCAGCAGAGGGAACAACGCAGGACCAGGCACTGGCAGCCAGGAGCACAAGGCCGAGGTCAGCCGCCGATAGGCTGTGCAAGTCGGTTACCTTTCTGAGCCTCAGCTTCCTCCTCTGTGAAGTGGGGATAAAACCGCCTGCTCTCAGGGCCACGTAAGATGACGGATATCAAAGCGCACAGCACTTTTTCTAGCTGCGAAGAGGTGGAGTGAGAGGCGATAGTCCCTCTTGCTCATATTAGTGACTCACTCGCGTATTACTGAGAGCTTAGCAAAGAAGAGGCTGTCTGTACAAATAAGTTTGAACAAGACAGAACACAATTTTCGGTTGTGAGCCTACTTTATAAATTAATATATCAAAATCAAAGGCCTGCGCCTCTCGATGTGATTTAACACTTCCAGTTCAGATGAAGAATCGGGCTGTGTCTAAGTCAGGATTTCTTTCAACCTTTTTTCTTTCACAAACATCCTCCCAAGGAGCCTTTTTAGATATTTTTCCCCACCCCACTCCATGAAATTTTAATACCTCAGGTTTTCCGCGCATCTGTTTATGCACCATGCCCTTGGGGGCGATGGCAAATCACTGTAATAGCCAAGGTTTTTCTCCCCTTCCGAGAACCAGCTTTCACTACCACTTCCCACCCCGCCCCCAGGACACACGGTCTGCATGGCAAATGCCAGACCAGTGGGGCCTGAATTAGGCGGCTTGGTGGCAGCAGCAGATCAGCCCCGCCCTGTACCCTCTCTTCACCACAGAGTCAAGCTGGGACTCTGCCCAGAAGAGAAAGCCCTCAGAGCTCAGGGCCAACATCTCATCACCGGCTGACCAGGCACTCCCCTCCCCAAAGCCACCCCGCTGCAGGCTCAGCCGCGGCCCCCGCCCAGCCCCGTGGCCCCCTGAGCCAGGGCGCAGCTGGGAGAGGGTACAGCGTGCTGGGAAGGGGCCCAGACACATCAGTCCAGCAGCTCCCTGCCTGGGCTTCACAGAGTATGACCTGGAGGGGCTCCTCTGAGATCAAATGCTCAGTCTTATAAATATATAAGTAAGCGCATTTTTTCCCCGGGGGGGAAGGGCTTGCAGCTTTCACTATGTCTCTAAAATGGGCAAGAGACGGGCCTGGTCCAGAGCCGCCCCTTCTCGCCTGGGCTCCCCCACAACCCAGCCCACCCCAACCCCAGCCCTCCCACACAAGCCTCCGACCCTTGTCCGTGTGACACCCACAACGCAGACCCTCCCTTTCCTTGCTTACAACCCACCGAGGCGGTTTCTTTTCACACCTGGGGCAGAACCGAAACTCCTCACGGGACGTGCAAGGTCCCACACGGTCGGACTTGGCCGCCGCCACCGCATGCAGCCACGTGGGCCAGCTTCCTGCGCCCCGCGGTCGCCCGGCCTGGCGGCGGGGCTGTGCACCCCCCGGCTGCCTCTCCTGGCCTGCTGCCCCCGCCCCGCCCCACCTCGACCTCCCTCCCAGGGCCGGCGCCTTTGCTGCCAGGTATCAGCTTAAATGTCACCTCCTCTCCCCGTGAGGTCCGCCCCGGCACCCCGCTCTTAGCAGCCCCTGTCCTGCCACCATCCCACCGTCCGAGTGGATTGCTCCCCAGAGTGCACGCCAGGAGCTGAGGTTTTTCTTGTTTCCCTGTTTGCTTCTTGATGATCCGTCTCCTCCACAAGAATGTATATTCCACTAGGGCAGAGGCCTCGTGCCCCTTGCCAAGGGCTAGGCATATCACAGGCGCTCGTGAACACTTCTGGAAGGAATGAGTGACTGCTACCTCCCCATCTTACAGGTGAGGAAACTGAGGTCCCCGAGGGGGAGTGACTTGCCAAAGCCAGCTTGAGGAAGCGGGCGCTGGTGTTAGAATCCAGGTCTCCTTGCTCCATGTCCCGCCTCCCTGCCACCTCCAGTCCCTGCCTGAGAGTCACCCCCACCTCTCAGTCCTTGGGGCCCCTCCCTGTCCTCTCCAGGACACAGGCCTGGGATTTCAGTGATGGTGGGAGAGGGGCCGCTTTCTGCTGTCGTTTTTAATTGCAGTAAAACATACATAACATAAAATTTACCATGTTGACTACTTTTAAGTGTACAGGTCTCTGGCATTAAGGACATTTGCACTGTTGGACAACCGTCACCCCCATCCGCCGCCAGCTCTTTGTCTTCCCCACTGGGAAAACTGCGTCCCCACGCAGCACGGACCCGCATGCCCCTCTGCCCCCAGCCTCCTGTTCCCACCCTTCTGCTTCCTGCCTCTAGGAATGTGACCGCTCTAGGGCCCTCATAGAAGTGGGGTCGCGCAGTATTTGTCTTTCGTGTGACGGGCTTACTTCATTTAGCACAATGTCCTTAAGGCTCATCCACGTTGTAACGTGTGTCAGAATTTCCTTCCTTTTTAAGGCTGAATGGTATTTCACTAGAGCATAGCCTGCCTTTTGGTTTTTCATTCCCTTGTCAATGAGCATTCGGACTCTATCTACCTTTGGCCTTTGCGAATAGCTGTGAGCACGCGTGTACGAATCATCTATCTAAGCGCCTGCTTTCAGGGCGTCTCTGAGGGGTGGGGGGCCATACCCAGAAATGGAATTGCTGGGTCATATGGCAATTCTATTTTTATTTTTTTGAGGAACTGTCATTCTGTTTTCCACAGTGGCCGCACCATTTTACATTCTCCCCCACAATACGTGGCGGGGTTTTCTTGTGTTTTGGCTTTTTGTGTTTTTGTGCTGCTTCCGTGTTTTGACGGCGAGAGGAAGGGGACAAGGGGCAGCTGCAGCCTGTGGCCCCTCGGCTCTTCCCGCAGCCCCGTGAGCCAGGAGGCGGCCCTGCCTGTCCCCGTCTTGTCCGCTCCCCTGTCTGCGACTCCCACCCCAACACCTGGGCGGCCAAGCGGGTCGCCAGGCCGATCTGCGAGGATGTCGACAGCGGCCCAGGGCTCCGAACCATCCCCGGGGCCACCCAGCCAGGCCCTCAGGCTCTCCATAGTCCAGGTGTAAGCACCCGCAGGAGGATAAAACTCATTCACAAGCACAGGCCCTCACACGTCAGTGAAACAGGAGGGCAAATGGAGCCACGGCACAAACACGTCCTGTCAGGTCTCAAGAATTCCTTGAGTCACCAAGCCCGCGGACTGCTGCGCACCGGTGTGCGTGCACCTGTGTGCGGGGTGGCTGGGACACAGGCCCCTGGCTGCCTCTCTCCTAGGCCAACAGCAAGCGAAGCCTGGCACCAAAGTCACAAACAGCCAAGGATGCCGGGCAGGGAAGAAGCGCTGAGTACGCTTCAAGCCTACATTCACGGTGGAGCAGGAAGAGGGTTTTGATGTTCTAGCCCGTGCTCCTTGCCCTTGGGTGCACCTGAGTCACCCAGAGGATTTGTTACAACAATGATGGAGCCCCACATCCGTAGTTTCTGACCCAGTGGGTCCCAGATGGGGCTGGAGAATTTCCAACGAGCTCCCAGCCGACGCTGGGGCTGCCGGCCTGTGGGCCACACGTGGAGTAGAAAGGGCTCAAAAGGTCTATATTGGGAGGAGGCTCCTGATCAAGTGTCCTCCCTGAGTTCTCAGGCCGGGGAGCAGAGGTGGCTGGAAGGGGACCTGGAGACCTGGTAAAACCCTGTGGTCAGAACCAGGACGCAGCTTGTGGGAGGCCAGCAGCCCGATTCAGGTTTTCAAAATAGCGTGACGGGAACTGTACTTCAGAACAAAATGACTGTACTCACACTTTGTGTCTGCAAAACCTTTTACAATTCCCGGAGTGTTTCACGTCTGCCCTCCTGTCCGATCTTCACAACAGCCTTGTTATTTTCCCCATTTTAGGGACAAGGACACTGAGGCCCAAAAAGACGGAGCGGCTTGCCCCACAGTCCGGCACCGCTGGTGTCACTCAGTAAGCGTCTGCAGAGCCTCCGCACGGCCCTGGACCGACACGGCGGACTTGGACAAGGAAGAAACGGCTCCCCCTCAGGGGGCCTCCCGTCTCGTAAGACAGGAATGCCACATGCACAGTGACCGCCAATGGAGGCAGCGGACGGCGGGGCCTCACTGGCCGCCCTCCTACTCACATTTAACGTTGGCTTGTCCTCTCCTCTCCACACACGCTCTCTGTGGGATGGACGACAGCTCCTCGGCGGGTTCCACCCCGTCTGCACTCTCGGGGCTCCCACACCTCACCACCCTCCCCAGGCGGCAGGTTGACATAACCAGCTTCCTGTCACCACGCAGGACACACTCGGTGAGGCCCACCCTGCCTCTGTCCTCTCCTCCCCTAGTCTGCCGCCTGCCCCGTCACTCAAGTGGGATGGCTGGCCTTCAGCTCCTTCCCTCGTCTTCATCCACAGCATCCGTGTAATTACCCAGCTCTACTATTTTCTACTCCCAAATAGTTCCCTCATCCATCTCCTCCTCTTCAGCTCCCTCACCGGTGCCCCAGATTGGCTTGGTCAAGACTCCCTCTCCAAAATCCGTCCCACGGCCTCCTGTCGGATTCCCTGTCTCTGTCCCACCACCCTCAAAGCCATCCTCTGACACACAAATCTAACCAAATCACTCCTGAGTCAAACGCCCTTTAACCGTTTTTCAATCATCGACCAGTCTGTTTGTTCGTCCGTCTGTCCGTCCGTCCGTCCATCCAGCCGCCCGCTCTCCCATTCGCTTATTCATTCACACAACAAATACTTACTGATTATCTTTATTACGGAAGGCGCTGCACTGGACACTGGCTCCTAGTGTTACTCAAGTTGCTTTTAGTCTCATGGGATTTGTGAGAAGAAAAGCAAACCTGTTCCTAGGAAGAGCACAGGATTTTAAGGGAGTTCATTAGAAGGAACCCAGCCCAGCCAGAAAAGCCTTCCTGAGCAGCAAGGTGGGCTAAGACCAGGAGAAGGGGAAGGGCTGCCTGAGCAGAGGGGAGCGTCTGCCTGTAGAAACAATGTGAGCAACAGATCAAATCCGAGAGAGAGAGAGAGAGAGAGAGAGAGAGAGAGAGAGAGAGAGAGCGAGCTCCCTTGGGGACTGAAAGGAGCCTGGCGCGACTGGAACTGGCTGCGAGGAGGGCACAGCCCGCGAGGAGACGGGGAGAAGCTGGAGCAACTAACAACTAATCAGAAGGTGGTAGGGAATAGTCAGGGACAACTCTGAGATGTGCCTCAGTGCTTAGTCCTGATAAGCTCTAAAAAATTACTTGTCAGATGGACGGATGGGTGAAGAGGTAGGTGGGTAGGCGGGTGGATCGGTGGTTGGATAGATGAGGGGATGGATGGAGAGATGGGAGTAAATGGGCAGAGAGATGGATGAATGGGGTGGGGAGATGAGGGGAAGATGGATAGACTGGGAGTGAATGGGTGGGTAGATGGGTGAACGGGGTGGATGGAGGGGTGGGCGGGCGGAGGTGTGAATGGCTGGATGGGCGGGTAGGTGCAGAGCCGGTGTGTGGCAGGCACATGGATAGAGGGATGGGTTAGTGGGTAGGCAGACGGATGGATGGCTTGGTAGAGAGGTAGATGGCTGGGCGGGGGAGGGGTTGAGGTTGGGCCTGGGATGGCAGAGATTTCATTCTTAGAAACAGAAAAGCGACAGGGAGGAATCACTGTGGCCTCGCCTCACAGCCTGGCCCCTGCTCTGGCCACCCGAGCTGCTCCGAGGGTCCTGCTTTTACGCCAAGGGCTTGTCACGGCCAGTCCTCCCTCTGCCAGTCCCTGAGGACAGGCACCCCCACGCGGCAACTACCCTGCCAGGAGCGGCCCTTGTCTATCTGGTCTCCATAGGAATCCTGCTTCTCAGGAGTCAGGAGACACAGTGGGTGATGCAAAAGTGTTCTGTAAAGGAGGAGATGGGGGAGGGATGGGAGAGCGCGCCCCAGCGGCCGAGAGCCTCCCAGGGGCCAGGCCCGTTCCTCCCCGCCCCATCCTCACAAGGGCCCACTCCCCAGGCGAAGGAACAAAGCTGGGGCTCAGAGAGAGACGAGCGGACCTGCTCCAGGTCCCACCGCTACAGTGAGCTTGGCCCGCACTGCCCCTTACGCCATGCTCTCTTTCTGTTTGTCACGATTGTCACCGGGCAGCCACCCTCCACCTCCAGGCTTCACCAGGCTCCGTTCCTTATAGATGCCACCATGAAGGCCACCAGGCTCAGTCCCCCTGCCCCTGCAGGCTGCTCTGCCCCGCCAACCACTTCCTCCACACCCACCGAAGAAAACCTGGGCGTCCAGTCGCGGTTCCCCAAGTGCGGGGGCTGAGGGGACCCAAAACAAGGAGCCACTGCATTTACTTCAGGCACTTCATCACCCAGCTCAGAAAGAGAGACCACACACAGGCAACCCAACACTGAAAAGCAAACCTTTAGACAAATGCTCATCGGCACAGAGGTGTCTCTGAGGATTTTAATGACCAAGGGAACGTAAGCTCTGAAAGGAAAGAAGGGCCTCTTTGACGCAAGGTAAGAGCCTCCACACGTTCCAAGCCGGGAGGAGGTTCCCCGGGCTGGCATGGAGCCGGGACCCAGACGGTGATCTAATCCATCACCGTCTCCTCCGCGGGGCACACGCAGGCGCGCAGACAGTTACTCACAGCGCCCGAGCAGCCCTGCTCTTGGGAGCCCGGACGGAGCCCACGGGCAGGGAGTTTCCTGCAGGCCCAGCGCCTCTTCCTTTATCTGGCCAAACCTCCACTCTCTTTAAATAAGGTGGTTTCATTTCCTAAAAGGGTGGATTTCAGAGGCTGTTGATATTTCCCCCTGGGGTGGGAGGAGAAACCAGGGAGCATTTTTCCTTAGTCCCTGTTGTTCTCCCAGATAGCCCGGCCCCAGCAACAAGACAGACTTTCATTTCTAAAGGCCTTGGCACTATTTCCAAGTTCAATTCCATCTGGACTCACGAAGTTGCTGTGACTCAGGTGGGGCTGGCCCACCCACTTCTCAGAACCTGAAGCCCAGAGAGGCTAATGCAGTTGGTCAAGTTCACGCAATAAGCCAGGTGGGTCCAAATCCAGAATCCAGACATGGAGCCACCAACTTGCTGCCTTTATGCTTTTTTGACCACAAACCACAGCAAGAAATGCACTCGACATTGCAACCCAGCATGCACATGCCTCACTCACATGCACGCACACGGAAACAAACTTCCCCAAAGCAGTACTTACTCTACCCTTGGCGATGCACTCCGATCGTGGCTATTCTGTTTCGTTTTTCTGAATGCAGGTCATGAGCTACTGAAATCATTTGCTGGCCCTCTAACAGGTCATGATCCTGTTTGGAAACAGCTGGGCTGACCCCCACCGGCTCAGCCTCTGGAACCCGGGACGGTGATGGCCTCTCAGCTGGGTGAGGAGTGGGCAGGCAGCAGCAGCCAAGGAGAGTTGTCCAAGTGGGAATCCTGGGTCCTCTACAACTGCTTCACGGCTGAGCTCTGCCCTCAAACCTCAAACAGCTCAGCTTCCTCCAGCGGCTCCGGGGAGGGGTGCCTGAGGAAGGAGCTGAAAAGCACCTTACCCAGCCCGGCAACCCCCGACACTGGCAACCCTGCCGCCGGGACCCACGCCCCTCCTCCAGAGATTCCCCACAGCCCGCGCCTCCCAGCTCGGGCTAGAAAACCCCAGCTGGAGGCTGCCCGTTCCTGAGCTGAGGCAGAATCATGTGAACTCGTCAGTCCGATCCGGTGTCAGGCTGGCGGCTGCCCAGGAGCTCTCGCTGGCAGCAAGTGGGGCGAGGGCTGCTCCCTCCACCGTCCACGCTGCTTTCCACACGCCCCGGGGGAGGGAGCAACTTTCCAGAGAGCATTAACGCCCGAACTGGGGACAGGGGACCTTGGGAAGGGGGGCATGCAGGAGAAGCGGGGTACCCAAATCCTACCCATGAAACCCCTTTGAGTACCTACAGGGCCCTGGGAGAGGAGACCCAGGCGGCTGGACCCCTGCGCCAGCGGCCCTCTCTCAGACAGGCTGGTGCTCAGGTAACTTGAGAACAGCACAGACCCCAGCTGGAGACCAAGACAACAGGCAAGGGCGGGGCCCGCTGGCTGCTTCCACTCCCACCCCCAGGCTCTCACCCCCGAGCCACCAACATCTCGGTCAGTGGGTCCCAGGTACCTTAGGAAAAACCTGGAGAGCTTATAAAAATAATACCGATGCCCAGGCCCCACCCTAGATGAATGAAATCACACTTCCTGGAGATGCGGTGCCGGCCCCCGTCTCTCAAAGCTCAAAGCTGGACGATTCCAGCGGGCAGCCGAGTGCAGCAGCACTGATGTGCGTGTTGGAGCTGCGCTGGATCCTGCGCTGCACACCAGTGGCACGGGGGCATCGGAGGGGGGCTCCGGGCCACAGACAAGGCAGCCGCAATGCTCTTCCACAGCGCAGCACCCCCGTGGGGAGTAAGCTCTGGTATCACGGGGTCTCCTGGCTCTGGGAGCACTTACTGAACCCCCTCAGCACAGCAGGGCTGATGGGGGCCCTAGGGGTGCCCTAGCCCGGCCTCCTCCTGGCCCAGGTGGGGAGGAAGCTCAGGCCCAGCCAGGCAAAGGCTCTCAATCAGGGCCTCACAGCCAAACCATAGAGCTGGGGTTCTAAAAACCTGCTGCCGACACCAGGAGCCACGCGATTTTGGCAGGACCTCCTCTCTCCTTGGAAGCTGCTCATAGCATATGTTGCTAGAACCAGGAAGCCAACGTCCACTATGCACAGGGGGTCGCTGAGGATGTACGTGCTCCCCACTTTGTTACGTGGTCTGTGAGACTTGTCTTCTCCAGAGAGCAAATCACTCTAGTCCGGTCGGGGGACTGTATTGGTAAGGATCTCGGGAACATCCCCTTCTGAGGGCCCTGGGCCCTTTTCAACGGTCTCTATGTCAGTTACTGCAAAGGCTGTGCCTTGTTAGAGCACAGCCGTGTTCACATAGACACAGGTGCTGACGTGGCTGGCTTTCCCCCACGTCATACGAAAGGACGGGTGGATCAGGAGTGAAGGGTCAACTTTGTGGGGAATGCCTGGCTCCCCCTAGGACACAGCGGCCAAAGAGAGCACCCTGACTCTCTCTACAGGGCAGGTGGCCTAACAGGCACACACACAGGTCGCCTCCACCATCGCTGTCTATACCTGGAAGAACCGTGGATGATACTGTGTCCCTTCCTCCCCCTAAGAGTCCCAAGCTGCCCCGGGCTGTCCCGCCCTCTGCCAACTGTGCGCACTGCCTCATCTGCAAGGGGGAGCCTTCCTCTCTCCAGGGCAATGGTCCCCCTTTTCCTCCACTGAGCCTCTGCGGCTGCGGATGGGAGGAAGCTGCCCTCAGTTTCGCTCAAAGCAGCTGCGCCCGTGTCCTCTATGAGATGCCCGCTCGGTGAGAGAAAGAGCAGCCCAAGCTGCCTGACTTCGGTGCTAGGATTTCTTCTTTAACCTAAAACAGGAAGGGAGGGTGCGAAGCCGTGGTGACAGCACGGGCAGTGGCCTGCGGGGACCCGAAGACCCATAACCTTGACTCCCCCAAACCTCTCCAAGTAAGCCTGTAACTAAGTAAAAGCAGTGTGTTTTTAATAGAAACGTAGCCTCAAGAGAAGCCCCCTGGCCCACCTCCCCCCGTTTAAACTTCTCTCGTTAAGTCCAAAGTGCCAGAATCTTGGAGGTGCCGCTGAGTAGACAAGGCTACCTGGTGGCACGCGAGAAGGCTCAAGCCCTGTGGGTGCGGGGGCCACACGCGGGATGCCAGGCCCACCTCTGTGGCTCCTTCCATCCCGGAAGACAGAAGGGTGTGGAGTGGGCCCGGCCCACCACTGGGGTTCTTCCCCGCCTCTCTCTCAGCCTCGGGGACAGCGGTCAGGAAGCATGGCAGGCACCCACCAGGATGACAGAGCCGAAGGCTGGCCTGAACCCTGGGTGTCCCTTCTGCCCCCACGATAAACATCTGCTCCAGGACCTCGGCTCTGAAGGGCTGCTGGGCTTTTCTGAGATGTTCTGCAGGCTTCTTTGAGGACAACAGGGCCCCAGACCACAGGGCCTTCGGGCACCCACTGGCCCCCAGAGGTCCGAGCGGCCTGGGTGTCCTCACAGGGAGGACTCTGGAGGCTGCCCTGAGCTGGTGGCCCGCGCAAGGCCTCAGCACACGGCAGCAGCCCTGAGCTCACGGGATGGGGGCTACAAGCAGGGGCTCCGGGCCAGGCTGCAGAGGTCAAGTCCCTGAGCTGCTGCTGTCTGGCTACGTGGCCTTGAGAAATCGCCTTCCTGGACAATCAGTGGACTTCTGCGAGAGTCGGAAAGATGGGATCCAACTAGTGCCTGGCCCTTAGTAGGTCCTCTGTGTTGCTGAGGGTGCCATGACGGTGAGGACAGTGGTGGGGGTGACAGCGCCGCTCCCTCAGGCTGGAAGGCCCACCCCGCGGTCTGACTGTCCCTAGAAAAGGCGAAGGCGGGCCAACTTGGCAAGATGCTTGTTTTGGCACATTACCTTATTCCCAAGGCCACTCTACAGATTTGGAGCTGGTCAGGGCGGAGGCCTTAGGGGACTCCTGAGGGCTCTGACAGGGACAAGAAGTGTCCATGGTGAGCTATCTGCTGTCTGACTGCAGGGACCTTGGCTGACTTGTGTCTTGAAGGCCGACCTTGACCTTCCCTGGGCCTTCCACTTCAGGGCGAGCCCGCAGCAGAGGAGCCGATGCGCTGTTCAGGTTCAGGAGCGGCCAGGTGTGAGTTAAGGGTGGCTGGGAGGCCCAGAGGGGGGCCCACAGAGATCCTCCCAAAGAGCCTGGCACCATGGCCCCGCCCGCTGTGGTGAGGGAAGAAGCCACCTAAGGACCATTTGGGGAGCACGTGCTTTGTACCAGGTACTGTTCTGTGTGCTTCCCAAATGTTCCGTTTTCACCCTCACATTGACCCCGTGAGGCTGGGTTATCCCTGCGTTATAGGCAAAGTGGCTGAGGCTCTGGGAGCGCCAACAACCTGCCTGGGGCCACAGAGCTGGGAAACGGTAGAGTTGTTTGACTTCAAGACAGGGCTCTTGGTTATTCTATCAGTTTCCTGCTGGAGCAAAGGACCACACCCCTAGTGGCTTAAAACAATGCAGATTTCTTCTCTTACAATCCAGTGGCCAAAGTCTGATATAGGTCCCGCTGGGCTAAAATCAAAGTGTTGGCAGGGCTGCATCCCTCCTGGACGGTTTAGGGGGAAATGGACTTCCTTGCCTTGCCCAGCTTCTAAAGGTGTCCAGGATTCCTTGGCTTGTGGCCCCTTCGTCTTCAAAGCCAACGGTGAATTGAGTCCCTGTCACATCATTTCACCCTGCCCTTTGCTCCCATCGTCACATCTCCTTTGACTCTAAATGTCCTGTCCCCCATCTTCCACTTTTAAGGACCCTGATAATCACACTGGGCCCACCTGGTAAGTGGCAGAGCTGGGATTCAAGTCAAGGTCCAAATTAGTTGTTTTTTAATGTGTGTGTGTGTCTCCATATCCTGTCTGGAAAAAGTCTAGCCATTGATAATATGGTAACAGTTTGCGTGACATTGATGTAACCTGGCAGCCAAGGAGAATGGACTGGAATGCACATGTGTGAACAATGATGACTTCACTGTGCTAGTCAGTGGGGGTGGTAGATGCCATTGAGTGAGCATGTGTACTGTGTAGTTGTCGCACTCAAGTGACTGAGAGAGCAGAGCAACGAATCCGCATTAAATTTTGCATTAGGCTTGAACATTTCCTCTGTGGAAACTATTCAGAGGATTCAGAAGGCTGCAGCTGTGGGCAACTGGTGATTTGGCAACTTCATTACGACAACGTGCCCGCTCATGCATCACGTCTCATGCAGAGTTTTTTTGGCAAAACATCAAATCACCCAGGTGACTCAGCCTCCCCTACAGCCCAGATTTGGCCCCCTGAGACTTCTGGCTTTTCCCAAAACTAAAATCACCTTCGAAAGGAAAGAGATTTCAGACCATCAGTGAGATTCAGGAAAATACGACGGGGCAGCCAATGGTCATTGGAAGTGTATAAGGTCCCAACGTGCCTGTTTTTAAGGGAAGTGAGGCCTCATTGTCCTATGAACAATGTTTCTTGTATCTTCTTCAATAAATGTCTCTATTTTTTATATTACATGGCTGGGTAGCTTCTGGACAGACCATACATACACATATGCGCGCATGTGCACACACACACACATACACACACACACAATCCTCACCTGAGGAGAAATTTTTTTCATTGCTTCGAAGGAGAGGAAGGGAAAGAGAGAAACATCAGTGCAAGAGAGAAGCAGTGATGGGCTGGCTGCCTCTCATACGCGCCCAGACTGAGGATCATAACACACTTGGAGTGGGATTGAACCCTCAATCTAGGCATGTGCCCTGACTGGGAATTGAACCTGCAACCTTTTGACTATGGGACGACACTCTAACCAACTGAGCTGCATGGGCCAGGGTGAAATTAATTGCATTTTAACCATTACCAATGCAATGCATGGGAATTTGTACAATTATTTGTAAATGTCTG